TATTTGGTGTAGCTCACTGTAGCATGGTTTTAATTTTTTTCCCAAAAAAGATACTACGTATGTGTCACTCTTTATGATTTATTACTCCCTCCGTCCAAAATTAAATTGCATGTTTCAGTTTACATGTTTGATTAAAATTATTTTGAAATTATTTTATATGAAAATTTGTGTATAATTAAAAATAAAAATTACATATTTAAACCACATCAAAAGATCTATAAAACTAGTGATGGCATTACCATATTATTGTATCGGATGACTAATTAAAATAGGAAAAGAAAGAGAATAAATTTTGACTCTGTAGATAGTAATCACGTAATTTAATTTGGAACGGAGGGAGTAAGTGAATAAAAAAGCGAGAATACAAAGAGCTGGTTTAAACAGGACACCAATCACCAGCTTCATAAATAACAAACGAGTGATTTCCAACCGCGATAATAAAATGAAAAGACTAATTTGTATAAGAAGAAGATAATCAAAGGAGCAATGCTAGGGGTACACCATTTGGGGTACCCCAAATGTATACCACCCTCTTTTCCTCCACACATTTTTATTTGATTTTTATTTACTTATTTTTTTTGAATTTTTTTGCCTTTTTTAGTGGACAAGGAGGGGGTGGGGGACATTTGGGGTACACCTTTGGTGTACCCCTAGCATTTTTCTAATCAAAGAGTATGTAAATCTTGGATTACACACAACCATCTCATGTGCGTGCGACACATGGTGACATGGTGTCAATGTGATGTCACTACTTTAGAAATAATTTTTATAGATTTTTCATGAGTAAATCTTATAAGAAGTTGAAAATTCAAACAATCCCCTGAATAGTACAAAAAAATATGGTATAAAATAACTTATCGATATTATAGTTATAGACCGGATTATAGGATGATAAGCGGAGTCAAAATCTAATTACCAAAAGAAAAACACGAAAGTCACTGAAAAGATTATAGGTAGAAACACTTCTAGTGTAATTGTTATTAGATTTTTCTAAGAAGGCAAAGGCAGTAATGAATCTTAGAGCTTACAAGATTATGCAAAGAATAAAATTTCGATCTCCTTGAGCAGAGATTTATGGTGTACAAGAATATCTGCAGCTAAATAATAAAACATGTGATAATATGGTAGCTGATGCTCACAGAGTAGAGAAGATATGTAACCAACTGAGTTAGGGTAACCTAATCTGGTAAGTAAAAATAAGCGAGAAAGTAAAGAACACATAAAATATTACTTAAATCAGAGTAAATCGCACGTGTCCGAATACATATTTTACTCTATTTTAAGAGTGTAATCAATTTTGTGGTCGTAAGAATGAATGTCTTATCCACTTTATATTACAAACTATTTATAGAATAGAGGAAGTCAGATAGGTGCCTGGAAGGCGCTCAATTATAGACAAATAAAAAGGCAAAGGAATGTATGGCATGTGGTGATTGATCAATGTTTACTGGGTGATTAATGAGTAATAAAATGTTAATCATTGTCAAATCCAAAAATAAAATTAATTTACTACAAACTTTTCTACATTGATCATATAGAGAGGACTAGCTTTGCACACACTTCGTGCGAGTAGTGGCCAAAATGGAGTTAGATATTCATTAAGGGCATGTATGAGAATAGCGTTAGAGATTAGCGTTAACGTTTTGGATAAAATTTTAACAGTGCAGATTAATTTGAAAACGCTAACACTAAACGTTGCCCGTAGATAGCCTTTTTGAAAATACTAACGCTAATCTCTAACGTTTTTCCTAAACAGACCCTAAATAAAAGATGGACATGCGGTTTTAGTTACTACATGAAAGATTCACTACATTGAAGATATACATATCGTGGAATTGTGTGTAAGCTCAATCAAACAAAAATAGCAACAAAAAAACATAATTGGGCATATCTAATTTCATAGAGATGGAATAAAATGAAACAATTTGTTTTTCTGAATTTACAATCCATACGTTCATTGTTTTTTGCAGTTTTGACGAGTTCCTTTTTTGAGCTTGTATTTTTTCTAGAAGCAGATCAAAAATGAAAACAGAGAAGTTAAGGTTTTTTCTCTTTCATGATAAGCAAGCTAAATAGACCATTTTAGAATTTTATTTTTTTTATTTATTTGTAAGTGTTAGAATATAAATAATTTTTCCTGGGTCACAACTAGAAGCTTGAACTTTTAGTTGAATTGGTTCCTTAACATGGTATTGTAGCCTTGCACATGGGTTAGTCGATCCTAGGGGTCCATGCATGTGAACGACACTTGCACATGGGTTAGTAGATCCTAAGGATCGGGTAACCCTGATAGATAGAGCGTTGGACGCGTGCACCGAAAGGGAATCTGGTTAAAATTTTTGAAAGGCCCTGGGAAGAGTTTTTCTCTCAACTACAACCTTGAGATTTTGGTTGAATTGGTTCATTGACATGGTATCGGAACTTTATTGACTAAGAGGTCACATGCTGGAAACTCAGCATCACCCAGTAAGCTAAGCTAAATTGCCCATTTTAGATCTTTTACTTTTTTAAGTTTTCTTTTTCTTTTACTTTATGTTCCAAGTATGTTGTTTTTTAGCTTTGTGTTCTGCTCAGCTTGAGAGAACGACAATCAAAGAAAAAATAATAAAGTTAAAACAGTTATTTATGAGAATATGATTTTCCTTTAACAAGGTTTAGTAATATGAAAATGACTAAGGTGGTGGTAATTGTTTGCGAAAAAAGACCACCATGTATCTTACCCCAATATATATGTATATCTTGTAACTCAATATTAAATGAGCGATTTATAGTAGCATTCACAACTCACTTGCATACTGCAGAAAGTGTATAGAAAAGAAATGGGAAAAAGACTAAAGTATGAATATGGTAAAACATTGAAAATATACCAAAATATGACTTTCATGTTTTTATTCTTGAAATAAGAATTAAAATGCATTTACATTATATTACCAAACATTGTCATGTACATTACCAAAAAGTATAGTAATGTGCACATGTACAGTGTCACATTACAACCACATTACTACAATGCGAAGTTCTATTTCGGGAATAAAAACATAGAACACCTATTTTGTTATTTTTTCTATGTTTTAGTCACATTTAGAGCCTTTTCTTAAATGAAATACATTAAAGTAAAAAGATAAAGTAAAATCCAGATAATAAAAGAAATGTAAGAAACACTAAATGTGATTTGAGAATAGAAACTCTAGGCGGATGCTTACGAAATTCAAATTAGAGTTATATGCATATATAGTCTTTGTGGTGTTTTATAAGTGTGTAAATAATCTTCGAACTTGTATAAGTTGTCAAATACTCCCTACGTCCCTAAATAAAGTTCCATTTTTGACCTTTTGAAGATTTAAGGGAAGGATATTTTGGTGTTGATTTTCCAAAAATACCCTTGATGTGATGTGTTAAAGTAAGATGTGATAGGTAGATTATTAGTAAAAAGGTATGATGTGATAGGTAAGGTATGAAAAAGTAAGGGGTAAAAGAGGTTTTTTAAGAGAAAAGAGAAGTTTATTTAGGGACAAAGAAAAAACGAAAGAGGAACTTTATTTAGGGACCGATGGAGTAGTCCCTATGTTCAAACAACCATAGCATAATTAGTTCCTATATTAGAAAGTTCGTAAAATATACACAGCACGTGCATATTATGCAAAGACACCAATTATGTAATAGTAAAAAAAACAAATCTCATATTTCAATTGTGATGCGTATCTTTGAATCATAGTACAATATCATCCATCTTTTAGTTTAACTCTTACAATGAATTCTCAGTTTCTTTCATAGTGATATTATTGAATCGTAGTACAATGTCCTATGTGAGATCGATATTATTCTATTTTTCAATAGTTTTATTCTAAGGTAAAATCGTGTTAGAATAATGCTAGAAAAAGACCATTCCTTGCCTTTAACCACGAAAACGAGGGTGATTTCATGAGATAAACTTCTTTTTTTGTTACATGTTTCACATTTTCACATACTACATACGCCTATATTTTGTGTGTTTTACGTTTTTCTTAAAGAATAGACTAATTATACATCATTTCTTTGGCCACACAGACTATTTTGCAACTCTTAAAAGTATATGGACTATTTACCTGTAACGCCACGACCTGGATACCCGAATTTATTCGAATATCCGACTCGCGGTGTTAACGGGTGTAACTTTTTGAATCGGAAAATGGAGCATTAAACAAAACTTATTTATTTATTGATAATATCGGAGTAACTATTATACATGCGGAAGCTTATTAACATATTCGTACAAAATATATATTTCAAAATAACATCTTTATTATTGTTATCGTTCTTTATGTCATCTCGCCCATCCTTCCATCGCCTTAGCATTGTCCTCCGGTTCGGTCACTATTTAATTTGTGTACCTAAAAAATGGAGCCAACCCGATCAGCAAAAGCTGAGTGGTACCAATTATAACAATAGGTACAAAATATAATAGCGTAAACATATACTTTTCTCAAAATTCTTTACCTTGACACTACAAGAATGTATACTTAAATGGGATGGAGAAAAGAGACGGATTTCTGTCTCTAAAATTGCTTGTCTCTTATCCGTCTCACAACTGCAAGTTTTAGGACTTAAAAGATAGAAAAGAGAGACAGATTTCTGTCTCTAAAGAATTCTGTCCAAACGAATGGGCGTAGAGACGGATTCCCGTCTCTAAATATATGTTTAGACAATGAGACAAATATAGGGACTGATATTAGTCTCATCCTTTAATTCTTTGCCCCTAATTCTTTGCCCCTTTCATCATACATTTAATACTCCCTCCTCCATATATCTTTCTTCTCGTTTCGCAAAATGAATAAAAATCTCAAGTTTTTTCAATTTATTTTATTTAAATATTGGTATAGAAATAAAAAAACATACTTATTTAAAAACTACATCAAAAGTTAACAAAACAAATGGTAACAAGAATATTTTATTTTATAATATAGGCCATGAAAAAATACTAATAATATAAATTTCTGTGAAGTTGAAAAGATATAGGACAGAGGGAGTAATATATACTTTTCTTGAACAAAATATATAGGGGTATGTGTGTGTGTGTGTATATATATATATATACTTTTCTTCCTTCTATCATATAAATTTTATACTTTTCTTCCAACACCTCATATTCTTTATCTTATTTCTTTATATACTAGGCTAAAATTTTACAAGAATATGATCATTCTTATATAATTGAAAATATAGTGAGATATATTACAATCAATTCTTTATCAGGTATATATGAAATTCTATTCATTATTAAATTTTGAATTATTGTGTACCCACTACTTACCTATTAATTTAAGTGTTGAAATTACAATTCAAATTCAAATTTTTTAATATTTTTAGTTTCATTCAATTTACAAATTGATTGAGATTATTTTAACTTAATTTATCAATACATTTTAAAAAAATTGTGTTTATATGCGAGTATATACTCCATGCATGTGAAATATATATTAACCTTGTGAAAAATATAATATATAAATATATGAATTGATCATGTGAAAAATAATACGTAATAATGTTTTGGGACTTAATGGTACAATCATCTGGATAGTATTAGTGTTTTAAAATATTTAATTTCAATATCATTTTGAATGTGTAATTTTATACACAGAGTATTATTTATGAATATTATATGAACAATTATTTTTAAATATATTCAATTTTTTATTGTTAAGTAATATAAAAACCAAGATTTCATACACACACACAGATATATATATATATATATATATATATATATATATATATATATATATATAGTTGATTGTGTGGTTATTAATATTACTATTATTATTTTAATTATTTATTATACTCATGTAAAATTACATAGCATTGATTCATATGACTTAGATAGAATATTAGAAGAAGTCTCTCTACTTTCGAGTAGGGATAAGATATTGTTTGATTTATGACTTAGATAATTTATTATATGTATTTAAGGTGAATATCTATGGTGTACGTGATTATAACTAGTTTAAAATATTGTAGGTTAGTTGATAAATGTCAAAAAGGCGAGATTGGATGGGAAGACGTTTGATGGAAAACGGGTGGATTAATCCAGAATTTTTATACGGTGTGGAGGAGTTCATTAAAGTGGCATTTGCAGATAACCAAGATATGGTAAAGTGTCCATGTAAGAAGTGTCGGTTAAGATTTTTTATGGCTTCAACAAAAATTGACAAGCATTTGCGGAAGAATGGTTTCATGGAGGATTATGAGATTTGGTATTGTCATGGTGAAAGGTTAGGAAACAAAACTAATTTTTTTCGTGGAGAGACGTTTAACATACAAATGGAGGGATTAGAAAATAAGTCAACAAATCTTCCTGAGTCTAATTTTGAGCAAATGGTTTTAGAAAACATGGGACCAATTTACGATTTTGATCATAGTGCCGAACATGGTGAATATAATCAAACACATTACGATGATGAGGACAATTATAATGATGGTAACGAGAATAATAATGACATTGAAGTTGACGAGAATAAAGACATCTCTGCAGAGCAATATTATAAGATGATTGCTGATTCATCAACAACATTATATGAAGGATGCCAAAAATTCACAAGATTGTCGATTGTGGCAAAATTATTAAGTGTCAAAAGTCAATACAACATGTCTGATACATGTTTCAGCAAAGTAATTAGTACTTTCAAAGATGCCTTGCCCAGTGATAACAACTTACCACATAATTTCTATCAGGTGAAACAAATGATGAAAGGACTAGGATTACCAGTGGTTAAAATTGATGTGTGTCCAAACAATTGCATGATTTACTACAAAGATACATTTAGTTTGACAGAATGTCCAACTTGTGGTTTATCTCGTTATATTGAATCTACCATGAACAGAGGTGGGAGAAAGAAAGCCATAGCACAAAAAGTTTATCGTTACCTCCCCATTACCGATCGCTTAAAGCGTATGTACATGTCATCCAAAACTAACAACCAAATGACATGGCACTTTTGGAATGGGAGTATAAATAATGGCACAATAGGACATCCTTGCCAAGCAGATGCATGGAAGCATTTCGATGAATGTTATCCAAAATTTGCTGCCGATCCTAGAAATGTTAGGCTTGGACTATGTACGGATGGGTTCAATCCAAATTCGAGTACGGGTAGTGCATATTCTTTATGGCCTATATTCATCATTATCTACAATTTGCCTCCAGAGTTAGTTATGAAGGAACCATATATACTGTTAGCAGGATTGGTTCCAGGGCCACGTAGTCCAGGACGAATCATTGATGTATATTTACGCCCCATAATTGATGAGCTAAAGATATTATGGCGACGTGGAGTGCAGACATGGGATGTTATACGGTCAGAATATTTTACAATGCGTGCTTGCCTTATGTGGACCATAAGTGACTTTCCAGCATACGGGATGTTGTCTGGGTGGAGTACACATGGGAAGTTGGCATTCCCATATTGTGGTGATGGGCAAGGTTCATATTATCTAAGGAACAGCCACAAACCATGTTGGTTTGATTGTCATAGAAAGTTTCTGCCATTGGATCATCCATTCCGACGGAATACAACAACATTTACACCAAAATGTACTGTGTTTGGTTATCCTACACCGGATATGTCTGGGTCTGAAATACTAGAAACATTGGAGAGATTTACGTTCCCCCCATTTGGAAGTACATATGATGACATTAAGGTTCCTGGATTTGGTGTCACACATAATTGGATAAAGAAATCTATATTTTGGGAATTACCTTACTGGAAGGATCAGCTTGTGCGACATTGCTTAGATGTGATGCACATTGAGAAAAATTGCTTTGATAACATTTTTTACACAGTCATGGATGTTGGTAAAAGTAAGGATGAAGTGAATTCTAGAAAAGATTTAGAACTAATGAATATGCGACGACATTTATGGTTGTTTACAGATGGAAAACATACAAAAATGCCAAAAGCAGAGTACACATTAGAAAAGAAAAGTGTTGAAGATATATGCAAGTGGTTTAAAAATGTTAAAATGCCAGATGGTTACGCTTCAAACTTGGGGGCTTAAGTGAACTTATCAAATAATACCTTTTATGGCTTCAAAAGTCATGATTGTCACGTAATTATGCAACGACTTCTTCCAATCGCACTACGAGGGGCATTAAATAACGTCATATGGGAGACAGTTACAGAGTTCTGTAAATTCTTCCGACTATTGTGTGTGACCAAGATTAAAATTGAGGAAGTTGAAAATTTGCAGAAATTAATTGTTGTCACGCTTTGCAAACTAGAAAAAATATTCCCACCGAATTTCTTTGATGTGATGGATGAAGGCTAATTACCTAGTTGGATTAGGAGTACCAACCCGAGATGTTCTAGTTCTAGTAGGAATAGAATTATGGGTTGTAGGCTTATTTAGCTCTATATATATCTTAGCCAAGCTTGGGTTATGATATGAGAAACATATGAGAGTTTATTGTAATTGGTTTTGAGTTATTTTCCAGTTATAATAAAGAGATTGTTTCCAACAATTGGTATCGGAGCCAAATAAAAATAAAAATAAAAGAAGAAGGGGAAAAGCTACTGTTTTCGATTGGAGCTCTTAGAAAGAAAAAATCGTGCACGTGTGAAGATCTGCTTTGAGCTGTCTATTTCCGTCTTGATCGGAATTGCAGTAAAGAGCTGCATGAGCGAAGGCCGTGTCGACTCCCAGGTCCCGCCACCGCCTCCGCTGCAGAGATCTCGCCGATGCAAGAGTCCACGCACAATTGTCGCTGAAGGACACAGCAGCAGCGGACAGAGGGTTAGTCCGCAGTCCATTATCCGCGTGCAGTTAGCCGCCACTCGGATACTGCGAAGGTTCTCCTCTATTTGGGTAATCCCTGATTTCCAATCGAGACTAGGATTGCAAAAAGGGGAAAGCCATGGGAGAGAAGGAGCAGCCGGCAACAACGACAAAGGAAGGAATGAGCACATCCTTCAAGTGTCCTATGTTGACGATAACAAACTACACTGTCTGGGCTATTCGCATGGGTGTTATTCTTAGAGTCCACTCGGTATGGGAAGCCATCGAACCAGGTGTGGAGGACGTCAAGAAAAACAATGTTGCGATAGCATTGCTCTTCGAATCAATCCCCGAGGATTTGATCTTGCAGGTTGGTTCAATGAAGACTTCTAAGGAAATATGGAATGCAATTAAGGCTCGACACTTGGGTGCAGACCGGGTAAGAGAAGCATGGTTGCAGACTCTAATGGCAGAATTTGATAATCTAAAGATGAAGGACTCGTGTACCATTGATGAGCACGCGAGTAAAATAGTTGGGATCGCATCAAAGGCTGCAGCACTTGGAGATACTCTTGATGAAAAGAAACTTGTCAAGAAGTTTCTTGCAAGCTTGCCAAGGCGGTTTATCCACATAGTCGCCTCAATTGAACAAGTTTTGGATCTCAAAACCCTGGGATTTGAAGATGTGGTGGGACGGTTGAAAGCTTATGAAGATCGGGTTCGAGATGAGGAACCACAGGTCGATCAAAGCAAACTCATGCTCCACAAGGTTGAGTCCAACTCAAGGGGTCGAGATCAGGGAAAACCGGGCCGTGGACGTGGATCAAATCAGGGACGTAGAACCCAAGCACGTGACCAACAAAATTCACGCGAGCAGCAAGAAGGAGGTGAGAAGTCTGGAAAACCGAAGGAAAAAGCAAGGATCGCACCAAAGTACAATGCTTCAGGTGTGATCAATATGGGCACTTTGCCTCAAGTTGCCCACAACGCAAGATAAAACAAGGCGAGGTACATCTGACCGAGGCAAACGAAAACGACCAGCGACTCTTCATGGTGAGAAGCATTCAAGAAACTGTGTTCTTGAATGAAGATAAAGTGATACCAAATCAGTACCCGACTGAAGGGGACATATGGTACCTAGACAATGGTGCTAGCAACCATATGACTGGAAATCTCTCCTACTTTTCTGAAATCAACAAACGAGTTGGTGGTAGGGTAAGATTTGGAGATAATTCATGTGTTGAGATATGTGGAAAAGGATCTATTTTGCTTGAAGGGGACAAGGGTGAGCAAAAACTCTTGACAGACATTTATTATATACCAAGCTTCAGAGCAAATATAATAAGTCTTGGTCAAGCAACTGAAGTTGGATGTGAAGTGTATATGAAAGGAGATACTTTACTGCTATACGACACAAACAAGAGGCTGCTTATGAAAGTCCAGAGATCCTCAAACAGGTTATACAAAACAAAGTTGAAAGTGGGGAAGCCGATTTGCCTACATAACTGAATTGTAGAAGACAGTTGGTTATGGCACGCAAGGTTAGGGCATATCAATTTCCAAACCTTGAAGATGATGGCGCAAAAGGAGCTAGCCATCGGGTTACCTCGTCTTGAGCATGTAAACCAACTGTGCGAGTCATGTTTAGTTGGGAAACACGCCAGGAGGCCCTTCCCACAATCGACACAATACCGAGCGAGTAGAGTTCTAGAGCTCGTCCATGGAGACTTGTGTGGGCCAATTACACCTTCGACGCTTGTTGGGAACAGGTACATATTTGTCTTGATAGATGACCACTCACGGTTTATGTGGACTTACCTACTGAGGGAAAAAGGAGATGCTTTAAGGTCCTTCCAGGTATTTAAGGAGTTGGTTGAGAATGAGGAATCTGCCAAGATAAAGACATTTCGAACAGACAGGGGTGGGGAGTTCACCTCACGTGAGTTCAACTCATTGAGCAAAGAAAGTGGAATGGCTAGGCACTTAACCGCTCCATACACACCACAACAGAACGGTGTCGTAGAGAGGCGGAATCGTACCCTACTCGAAATGACACGGAGCTTACTTAAGGCAAAGGGTGTTCCTAACTATTTGTGGGGGGGAAGCGGTCCAATATGCAACCTATATTTTGAATCGGATTCCCACAAAAGCGTTATCAGGAAAGACACCGTATGAGGGCTATCATGGTCAAACACCGAATGTCAGCCACTTAAAGGTGTTCGGATGTGTGGCCTATGCAAAAGTTGATGGAGTCGGGATGAAGAAGCTGGATGACCGATCAAGAAGGTTAGTTCATTTGGGGCCGGAACCAGGTACCAAGGCATATCGGTTATTTGACCCTCATACTCGAAGACTAAGTGTGTCTCGAGATGTGGTATTTGACGAGAAGGCAAGATGGAACTGGGCTAAGGCCAACGATGATGATCGAGACCCAGGTATGTTTTGGGTACAATGGAGTAGAGCAATTGAAACTGGAAATGGGCCAGTCAATGTGGACCAGCCCGACGCAGAAGAGAATGGAGTTCAACTTGGGTCGAGAGACACGAATGGGCCCAATAATCTTATAGACACTTCAGCCGTTGAACCCATTACAGTATCAGTTTCAAATAGCTCGCAGGATGATCCAGGTGAAACCGAAAGCTTGCTAGAGACACATATCAGGAGGTCCACCCGGCAAAAGCAACCACCGGCTAAATACAACGACTATGTTTTAAATTTACAGGAAGAAGTTGAGCTTCTGTTATCATGCAATGAAGATGAACCAACCCATTTTCTTGAAGCTAAATCCAGTCCGGAATGGATGAAAGCAATGAAAGAAGAGCTTGAGTCTATAGAATGGAATAAAACTTGGACCCTAACCAAGCTACCAGACGGCGTGAAACCTATCGGGCTAAAATGGGTTTACAAAATTAAAAGGAACGCTGACGGGTCTATAAACAAGTACAAGGCAAGGCTCGTGGCAAAAGGCTATGTGCAACAACCTGGAGTTGACTTTGATGAGGTATTTGCCCCAGTTGCCCGACTAGAGACGGTTCGGCTACTTATCTCTCTTGCTGCTTCAAAGGGTTGGGAGTTGCATCATCTTGATGTAAAGTCAGCATTCTTACATGGAGATTTAAAAGAGGAAGTCTTTGTAAGCCAGCCGGATGGGTTTATTAAGAAACCAAACATGATTTACAAACTATTGAAGGCTCTTTATGGGCTGAGACATGCCCCACGAGCATGGAATACCAAGCTTGATGGTATTCTACGTGACATGAAGTTTCAAAAGTGTGTTAAAGAACAATCGGTCTACCGAAGGGTTATCAATACCGACTTGTTAATAGTTGGTGTATACGTCGATGATCTGGTAGTAACTGGTTCTAACCTGATGATCATATCCAAGTTCAAGCAAGCTATGGGAGAGAAATTCGAAATGTCAGATTTGGGAAAGCTTACGTATTACCTCGGGATAGAAGTATTGCAGACAGCAAACGACATACAAATCAAGCAGGAGGCATATACGAAGAAGATTCTAAAAGATGCTGGAATGATAGACTGCAATCCAACCTATGTGCCGATGAACCCAAATACTCGGTTATCAAAGGAGGACGAGGATGAAGTTGATGCCACCGAGTATCGTAGATTAGTTGGACGATTAAGGTACCTCTTACAAACCCGGCCTGACTTGGCTTACTCGGTTGGGGTTATAAGTAAGTACATGCAATCTCCAAGACAATCTCATTTGGCAGCCGCTAAGCAAATACTTCGTTACTTGAAGGGTACAGTGGGTTTTGGCATAAGGTACACACGATGCAAATCAGTCAAGTTAGTCGGGTATTGTGATAGTAGTCACAATGCAGACCCTGATGATGGGCGGAGTACGACAGGACATGTTTTCTATCTTGGTTCGTCTCCGATATCGTGGGTTTCGCACAAACAAGATACAGTAGCACTCTCGTCATGTGAAGCCGAGTACATGGCAACAACTTTAGCCAGTTGTCAAGCAGTGTGGCTACGTATGTTGCTAAGCGAGATTACCTGCTCAGATTTGCAAGAGGTAGTGTTACGGATTGGTAATACATCAGCGATAGCATTAGTAAAGAATCCTGTGTTCCATAGTCGAAGTAAACACATAAACCCCCGTTACCATTACATTCGAGAATGTGTGGAACGCAATGAGGTTTTTGTGGAACACGTGACTGGGAAAGAACAAAGGGCTGACATTCTAACGAAGGCGCTTGCTCGAATCAAGTTCAAGGAGATGAGGATGTTGCTTGGAGTTGAAGATCTCCCGAAATCCAACTCGGAAATTAGGGGGGTGAATGAAGGCTAATTACCTAGTTGGATTAGGAGTACCAACCCGAGATGTTCTAGTTCTAGTAGGAATAGAATTATGGGTTGTAGGCTTATTTAGCTCTATATATATCTTAGCCAAGCTTGGGTTATGATATGAGAAACATATGAGAGTTTATTGTAATTGGTTTTGAGTTATTTTCCAGTTATAATAAAGAGATTGTTTCCAACAATGGAGCACTTAACTGTTCATCTCACACGAGAGGTAAGATTATGTGGACCTGTTAATTTGCACTGGATGTACCCCTTTGAGAGAGGGATGAAAAGTTTAAAAAGTAAAGTACGGAATAAAGCAAGAATTGAGGGTTCAATAGTGGAAGCCTATCTCGTGCAAGACATGAGTTTCTTGAGTGAACACTACTTTGAAATTACCCTTGGTACAAGAGTAAACCCAATACCTAGAAATTATGTGGTTTTTTCAACAATTGATGAAGATACGTCAGGAATTTTATCTATATTCAAAGTACAGACCAGAAATTTTCCTGGTCAAGGTGTAACACGTTACCTTGAAGATGATGAGATTCAACAAGCACACACATGTGTGCTTCTTAACTGCCGAGAAGTAACACCTTACATGCAGTAAGTTCCGTAACTATTCTATTATATTGTGTAAATTTACTTGTATTCCCTCCATCTCATATTATTTGTTGAATTTTGACTTTTGGTAATCAACGAGAATCGACCTTTTACCTATAATTAAATAAAAGAAAATTTACATGGTATATTAATTAGATAAAATAATATTTTGAAAATATTTTACCAAATATATCTAATAAAATAATGCTTTTATCAATATCTAATATGAATTTCATTTAATTAATGATCAAAATTTACCAATTTTGTGTACAAAAAGTCAAATTTTGACAAATATTATAGGATGTAAGTGTGATTTAATTATGTAAATATGATACCTAATTAATGAAGAGGTCATCTTCAGGCATTTTGAGTCTCTTCTTCGACAAATGTTCCCAATGTTGAGTAACCAAGAAGCTGATAGGCGGAGGAGAATAGGCTTTGCTAAGTGGTTTAAGTTATTTGCTGAGAGTTACCCAACACAATTGTCGAATATGTTGCATGAGCTTTCTCGTGGACCACTTTTACGAGCACGGTCTTATAGTGGATGTTTCAGTAACGGGTTTCGTTTTCACACTCACGCATATGGAAAAACAAAAAGTGTTGCAAATTGGGGCATTTTAGCTAAAGGTGATCAAGTCGATTACTATGGAATAATTGATGACATAGTTGAGTTGACTTATCTTGGAAAAGAACACAATTACTCAATCACTCTTTTCAAAGGCACTTGGTTTGATCCTACCTGCGGTGTTCGTTAAAATAAAGCATCTGGAGTAACTGATGTAAAGTGGAACTCTCGTCTCAATCCACCTGACGAGCCTTTCCTCTTAGCAAGCCTTGCACAACAGGTGTTTTACCTCGAGTACCCCCATAGCTCGCTTCGTTCTTGGCGCGCTGTTATCATAACAAAACCAAGATTTCGCATCGACTGTGATGTCATAAACACAAATGGGGATGACACTTCAATCGAGCCTCTTGAAGATGAGCCATTCCAAGAGGGATCAATTCGAGAACCTATCATTATTAACGATAATAACGAGAACACTGATGTTAATAGAGAACTTAATATTCCAAGTGTGACTATGACTTCTAGGATCATTAGCGAGGAACAATGCAAAGATCAAAGAATGTTACCAGATGATAATGCAGAAGATGATCTCCTTTTGTCAACAGACGAAGAGTATTAAGTTCAAATTTGTATTGTTTTCAAGACATGCTTTTAAATTTATTTGCTTTCAATTGTCCTTGTAATGTTACATGTAACACCATATTGTTAATTACAGATACTCTGCATGTTTCTCTTACTCCCTCCGACCTAGAGTAGTTATCCACTTTTATTTTTACACACCATCCAATACATAATGTTGATGTATTGAGCTTGTAATCATTTGTTAAAAATTTAAAAATTTTGGACAATTTTTTTATAAAAAAAGGTGGGGGGAAAAAATTGGACAAAAAATAGGGGGGAATTTATCAAAAGGTGCATCCCATAAACATTTGAGACCACACGTCTAAACTATCTACTCCGTATTTCCTTTTCCAATCTGCCTCAATCGCAGCAGCCGCTGGATTTCAATCTCACCCGCCGCAAAAATGGAGACGGACTGACGGAGTCCAATCGCTATGTGGGCCACGATTTCTAGGCTTCCATAGGCAACGGACTCTGCGAACGGTAAGACACCTACACTGGATTTGAATTTCTATTGATTGAGTATTTGAGTTGGTTATGTTCTTGCTTATTCGTTACTGGCCTGAGTACTCTTCTTCTTCTTTACTCTCACTCTTCCTTGTCATTAAGTAAAAGAAAATTTGACAAAAACATTTTGAGAAATGGAAGGAACCTCCCAAATCACTCATCATCCTCGAACAATAGGTATTATAGGCAGTCATCGATTTGGTTGGTCCCCCGACATAATGGCTGCGGCTGTAAGTCTGGGTCGTGAATTGGGTCAGCGAGGAATTAGGGTGGTCTATGGTGGAGGTAATATTGGTCTCCAAGGATGTGTTGCTTCAGTGGCTAAATCTTATGGCAGTCAAGTTATAGGCTTTATTCCTCGACTTATTGCGGAGAGGCATTTATATGGTCCAACGGTAGGTATTGAACGTAGGGTACCTGATTATAATCTAGGTTGTTATGAAATGTGTCATTTCGTGGATGCGTTCGTCATTCTTCCTGGAGGTGTGGAGACCATGGAGGGGCTGTTCTCTATAATCTCATGGGCCTGCGATGGGATTCACACCAAACCGATTGGTCTATTGAATGTGAAAGGGTATTTCTATGGCTTGTTGAAGTTTCTTGATCATTGTGTGTCACAAAACTTTATGGAAGGCGCCCAGAGAAGGTTGTTTATTTCTTCTTTCTTTGACGCTGAATTGCTTGATAGACTTGAATCCGCAATAGCTTTTCCCGGCGCTCATGCTAATTATGAAGCTCAAGTGAATTCTGGTGAAGTCGATTTAACACTGCATTTGTGAGATAGGAATAAGTAATTGAAGTTTAGTCCTTGAGACAACCACTATGGTTAATTTTGTTTGGATGTACGTTATTCACTTAATTTTGTCACTCTTTGGCTTTGTATTTGAAATGCTGAATTCTATTTTGTGTTCATTTATAAATATGTATTTTGTTCTTGTTTTGTTCATGAAAGCAAAAAATTCATGAGTCCCTTGTCTCCGGCGTATTTTGTTCTTGTTTTGTATGTTTTTTGCAGGTTAAAAGAGTGTGAGTACTCCTAGATACCTCAAAAAAGGGACAAGGTACACTTCAGTGACTTTACGAGGGCTAAAGATGTAACTTTACGAGATACCTCAAAAATGATGAGTAAATTCTATTTATAAAATAGCCTTCAAAGTTGCAAATTTAGAGACAAAGTCACATTTTTATCCCACTTTCAGACAAGACGAGTGGGAGCATTGACTCAGGCAGCTAAATCCAGAGTAATCAATTGTGATGCCCCCAGCTTGCCTTCCACATTGTTGTGCCACTGTTTTCCATTTCAACAAGGTTAACGAGAAGAAAACAATAAACATATAAGGGTATTTTTATTTCTTTCCAAATCCTGCCTCTATTCATCACAAGTTCTTTGCTATTTCAACATGGGATATATTATAAATAACCCTCAAACAAGTGGGCCAACAAATTTATACTTCGTATATGAATATGATCCCATTACTCCTGTTAGCATAATGATAAATTTTATAGATTATTAAAATTCTTATATACATCTTTGGATGGAGGATGTATATGCTAAATCAGTTGAGTGCCTCTAATCGATACTGTCATTAAAGGACCAGAACAAGTATACTGTCCCGATTGTCATTAGAGGCATAAGAATTACTCAAGTAAAAGTGCACTAAGAATTTTATAAATAGAATTTACTCAACATTTTATAAATAGAAGAGGACTTGAGACTAACGACACACCAAAATTCTACTTATCATTGTATTAATAAGTGGTACACTCTCTTTAAAGAGTAGTTGAAACTTGATCTATCTAGAATTTTTAAAACAGGATTATCCTCGTATGGGCAGAGGGGGAGAGAAGCGTCGAGGTGCAGACACTCTGAAAAACCCCAATTTTGATAACACATGGCTTAATGCTCTTTTGGAGAGTGATTTAAGTTTCAGGGCTGAATGGAATTCAAACAATGTAGTTTCTTCCATACCTCTTCAAAATGAAGAAATCACTTCAATCGCCCCTTCTACAAATCACTTGGCACATGATAGCATTGGTGGTTCACAATCTCCCCTTCCCATTGCTGAAACACAAGGAATAGAACCTCCCAAACAAAGGGAGGAAGAAAGAAATGAAGATGAACGAATGGTTATTGTCCCCGGGGAGTAAGAGATTTACATTGTGTATTAATTTATTTTATCATTGTTTTTTATATTAATTAATTTAATATCATATTATGTTTGTAGTTTTTCAGTGAATAAAACTATTCGTGAAGAAGTCAAGCGCATCAACAAAAGGTTGTTAGATGGAAAGGCCACTAGATTCTTAGGCCTCCAAAATGCTCGAGATATATATTGGGAACAACTTAAGGTAAGTTTTTGTATAAATAAAATAACATGGTGATAGATTGTATTTTACATCTAAATCTTGTTACTTAATGTGATGTTAATCTACCTTTATTCAACAGCAACGTTTTAGATGGGCTCCTGAGCATCACTCTAAAGTTTGGAAGAAGTATTTTGGATTGGTTGAAAGTGCATATCGGAGAAAAATGAATCGAATTCGAACAAATATTATAAAGAAATCAATCCCAGATTTTAAACCAGAAGAAGATTATTCACGTTTAATTCCGTTTCGACCTGAGGAAATAGGGGAGCAAAATTGGAGAAATTTATGTGCTGTTTGGAATACACCAGAGTGGAAAAAAAAATCCAGAGCGGGTTCGACAAATCAGAGAGGCTTACTAATGATGAAGAAATTTATCGAATTTTGGTAAATCACTATGTACTTTTGTGTTTAATTTTTCTTGTAAACAGGCTCGACTAAAAGCCCAAGAGCAGCCTGAGCCGCTGCTCAGGGCCAGGTTTGGTAGGGGCCCACTTTTCTAGTTACTCCAATACTTAACAAGTTGGGAATCAATTTTGTGGCATCATACAAACATTTTTTTTAGGGCAATTGGCTTTTCACCGCACCTCACAGTACTAGAAGATTAAAATTGAACCTAAGTACTTTTGATATTTTATTCTTATTCTAATTTTGTTTTAAGATCATTAATTAAATATGTTTAAAAAGACATGATTTTTAAAAGTTAGAGCATAAAAAGAAAAAAAATTAATTTTATCTCTGGGCCTATAATTTTTAAGAAACGACCTTGCTTTTAAATGATATGTATTTGACATTTTAACAGGAAGACTATTGTAAAATTCTGTGTGCAAAAAAAGGAGAAGATCGGGTACGTGGCCAGTCTTTGATAAAGATGCTTGGATTCAAGCGTCAGGCGGAGTGCAAAAGGGGGATCAATGGATAGGTGTCCCATTGCAATTTTCAGACCCCGTGGCATTCCATCCAGCTCGTGAGACCCCAAAGGTAAAAATTGTTTTTTGTAGTTCTTCATGAACGGAAAATGTTTACACTGCGTTATCTTATGAAAAATGAAAAGTGTGAGCTTTATTTAATTAAGAAATGACACAACATATTAGTAAAATCAATTTGTGTATCTAGATAGGACCATTTAATAGAGTCTTTCACCCTAAATATGATCATTTGTTCTAACACTTGTTATTCTAACATTGACTTGGTACTGGAGATAAAGCACTAATGTGATTCTTGTGAATAATATTGACATTTTTGAGTTGTATGAGTGTATCTATTCTTTTTTTTACATTGCAATTAATTTACTTATGTGTTATATGTTCTTGGAAATATTATGTAAGGAGAATAAAAGTGAAGTCGAGCGTCTCAAAGAAGAATTGAAGGAGAAAGATGCAACAATGAAAGCGGAAATAGACAAATTACAAAAAGAACTTGACAAGACAAAAGGGCTTCAACAGAAAGAAAGAAAACGTCGTCGTGAGGTGGTTCAAGAGCTGGAAGATTTTAAGAAAAAGTTCAATTCTTTGGATGCTTCAATGTCCAATATTCACCGTAGACTATTAAAAAAAGGTCTAATCGAAGAGTGTGAGATAAATCCTATGTCAGTAGCCAATGGATCTAGAAGCCAGAATAAATCTTTCCGCCATTGAAAGACGAGGAACTCGAGAACTCATAGTCAATTTAAATCAGTGTGTGATGATAACACTGACTCAACTGATTCATTGAACTCAACCTCTGATGAAGAGTCTGATTAGAAGGTGAGGACCTTTGAAATTTAAATGAAATAAAATTATTATTATATTTCTTTTATTTTACTATCAAGTGTGTAATATTCTTGTATCGTATTGATGAAGGAGACACCCATTTCACTTTGAGGAGCTAAGATACTGAAGGTCAGAACTCTGTTTTTTTTCCTTAAAAAAATAAGCATCTCCTGTGATTGACGCATAGCTATTAAAACATTACTCAGTTCATTTTGGAGTTGAAAATTCACATCTTCATCCTTATGGTTGGTTATTAACTTGTTGGAAAAATTTGCATTATAATTTGACATATTTAGTTAATAATGCAGAATCACATGGGCTATAATACTTTTCATGTTTATTTTAATGAAGTGTTTTGCTTGTGCAGGTATTATATATTGATGGTGTTGCAGCTCGTTTTACTACCTTGGACTAGGCAATAGGTTGTGCTATTGAGATGCTTGCAATTTGGACTAAGCAAATTGTTTTTGTTGGTTTGAACCACTTTGTCAATTCGATTATGCACTCTTGTTGGTTTCTTAATTTTGTTGATGGAAACACATATTCTCTAATGTTTTTTATTTCTAATTGAAGAAATGAATGTGTGTATGATTGTTATTAATTGGTATGTAAATCCCCCTCTGCTGTCCCACACCCCACTGCCACCAAAAATAATAATTTTTTTTTTACATTCAAACTTTGAGAGACAGAATTCCGTCTCAAGACTAAGCAGCCATTTTGCTACCAGCTCTTGATATTGAGACCGAAATTCTGTCTCTTATTTTCGTCTCATTTCCGTCTCTAATTCCGTCCCAAGACTAAGCAGCCATTTTGCTACCAGCACTTGATATTGAGACCGAAACTCAGTCTCTTATTTTCGTCTCATTTCCGTCTCTCATGCCAGGAAGACGAAAAAAATGAGACAACTTGATCCGTCTCTTTTCTGTCTCATAATAGAGACTAAATTGGGACGGAACTCCTGTCTCTTTGAGGCTCACATTCTTGTAGTGTGATAATATCAAATCATTTCTATTTCAGTATTCCATAAAGGTGCAATATCCACATATTTGAACTTTTTTCTTTACTCTGCTTTATTCTTGTTTAACTGGGACTTCAAGTACTTAACGTACAAGACAAGTCCATTATGTAACTGGGACTCCGAGTACTTAACGTACACGACTAGTCCATTATGACGAGCTCGTACGTACGGCAATAGAGGGGGTACTGGTTAACCCTGTGGAACCTTGTGAACCGCAGTTCACAGACCAGAAATCGTTTATTAAATTTAGAAAATATAATTTGTATCTGTGTGTGTCTCATTAACTCGAATCCATATTTCAAAGTGAAATTTGCACTAAATAGGACTAAAACATAATGACTTTCCTAATGTAGGACTTAAACTTTTTTATTCCTTAAATAGGACTAAATAATGACCCCGTGGGAGGAATAATGTCCAGTAATGCTATGCATTTAGTTGAATAATGACTACTTGTTAATGACCAAAAGTCCTACATTGGGAAATAAAAACAAATGGTCCTATATTGAGAAAGTCATTATATTTTAGTCCTATTTAGGTAAATTTCTCTATTTCAAATTCAACACATATCATATTTTTCTCTATATACGTAACTTAAAAATAATAGAGTATTTTATATTTGCTTCAAAGCTATCCTTTTTCCCTTACTAAGAACTTATTAAAAACTTTCTTAGAATGTAAAGAAATAGTTTTATGTGTAGAACGTTAAAGAATCTTGTCACCAGAGTTGGTCATTTCCGGTCACCTTCTCCGACGAGGTAACTTTGTTTTTACATTCAAAACCCAAATTTTCTTCATTTTCCCATCAAAATACTTTTTATACAACATATATAAACAGTTTAGACGTAAAGATTTGTAGAAATTGTGTGCTGTTATCGTGACCCATTTTTTGGTCGCCTTCCTAAACGGTGTTCAAAAATTTGTTTCAAAACCTTATTTTCTATTCGCATGCCCTTATATAATCATCATAGAATCCTTTTGGGGAATATTTTAGATAATTTGGACGTAACGCATGTTTTTAATAAAAGTTGGCGGCATTCCCGATTATTAATGATAGAAATTAAATCAATTGAATATATAACAATATAGCATATATTAACGTACTCCGTATTATATTAAGTGACGATTGTTATACGGGCGGCGATACTCACCTTGATGTTTGAATAAGTTGTTTGTGGTGGAACGTGGGTTTTCGAGCTCCGACAGTCTTCTTATTTTCCTCTTCCGGCAACTACTATTTCTTCTCTCTTTTTTTAACTACTTCGTTTATTCCTAGGGAAGTACTTATGAAGGGTATGTTTTTTTAACCTTGATACATGTAGCTATTTATAGTTTTCATTTCTTAGAAAGTAAGTCTTCAATTCCTAAGTAATGATGAAGATATTTGTTTGCCAAATACGTGGGTTTACCCAAGTAAGATTAGTGTCTTTCTTTTTTTTGAGACACCTGCCATCCTTACGGCTATTAGCCAAGTAGGTAAGTAATTAGATAAACTTAAACAATTTACACAACTAACATTTATTTACCCTTATACTCCCTCCATCCCATGAAACATGAGACTTTTGCTTTTTAGGAGGAATTTAAGGGGAGTGTATTTTGGTATTGAATTTCCAAAAATGTCCTTTGATGTGATGGGTAAAAGTATGATTTGATGGATAGATTATTAGTAAAAAGGTATGATGTGATAGTTAGGGTATGAAAAAGTAAGGAGTAAAAGTGACTTTTTAATAGAAATGAGAAGTGTTTTGTGGGACGGATAAAAAAAGAAAGGGGAAAGGTTTCATTGGACGGAGGGAGTATATCTTATCTCAATTAGTTTTCGCCGTTATTTTAAGGATTAGTATGTCAAAATGATTTATGTGATATAATTATTAAATTTATTATTTTAATTTCTAATTTAAACTGGTATGATCACCAAACAATTATCTTAGTTTTTTATCAAAAACAACTAGACCGGTTTTTGGGGCATTATACATTACCTGCTTATGAAAGATTAGAGAGACTAGAGACTACTTCTGCATTTAACTCTTCAAATTAAGGTCAATTAACTTCATTTAATTACCTTTTAATTTTCTGCATTCTAATTAAACACACACAAAACAATCACAAATATCAAAGTATTAAATTAATTATACAGTTGCATATATGCTTAACATTATATTCGGATAATTGCCAAATAGGGTTTTAAGTCTTTCAACTGCTGCACTACACCGTTCAATGGCTTCACACGCCATATGTAAATCCAGCGTACTTGGTAGTAATTTTACTTCAATTATGCATGCAATGTAATTAAATTTAAGATTAAAATATAATCCGTTCTGTTTCCATCTCGATGTTATATATTCTTTTGGGATCCAACTGCATTCACTACCACTATGTTTGGTTGAATTGGTTCAAGGATTTTGGCTAAGAAAAGAAAAGAAAATAGGAGGGAAATGTTTTTTTATGTTTGGTTAGTGAGAAAAAGAAAGGAAAAGTGAGAGGAAAAGAAAAGTGGAGAAAAAATGAATTAAAAAACTGGAAAATCATTTTCCTCCCGATTTTGGACGGAAATCGAGAGAATCCCGTCTTGTTGAAGATTCCAATTGAACTCGGTTGCGGATTTCTACAAGACTGAGAGTTGCTTGTCGAGATCGTGCCGCTGGGAAAGAATCGCCTCCTGGTCCAGATCTAGGGCACGCTGGTAAGCGATGCACTCATGGAGAAGACGAGTCATGGCTCCAACATCAGTGAGCTTACACACGCGCTCCAGAGCCTCCGGGGTGCCGAAATCCAACGATAAATTCGCCGCCGATGAATCATCGTCAGAATCTCCTTTCGGAGTCCCGGCTCCGGATCGCGATCCCATCACTGTGCCTTGAAAATAGGCTCAATTCGAGGCAAATTTGTGGGGGTTTCTGAGCGACATGGGATGCTTATTCAAGTTCTTAAGTTGGATTTCCATTCCAATTGAAGAATCCTTTGATTTGAGCCAAAAGTTGGATTCGAGTCACTGTTCATAGCGGGGATTTGCAGCCCAAATTTAACCATGGTCCTCTCCTCCTTTTGCCTCCATTTTTGGGTATTGTGGTCGTGATTCAGGGGCCTTCCATTAACTTGTGTTGGATTCTTGATTCAATAAACTTGTTTTGGCCTCCTTGATTTTGCTCTTCGTGGCACTGTTCATTTTCTGGTTTCCCTATGCTACTATATATAGGACGGTTTGGGCCTTGTTGCTTGTGCTATTCTTTCTCTGTAGCTTAAGGGTAGCTTGAAGATGAATTTGTTTGCTTGCATTTGTGGTTATTGGCTCATTTGACAGTGGCATTGTGCATTGTCCAAGTATGTGTCATCTTCTTCACTGTGTTGTGAATGCTGCCCAGGTTTCCTACCTCGTGTGTGTGTTCCATCTCAATTTGTTAGAGGAGATGTGGTAATATGGGCAAATATCCTTCTAACCAAACAAAAAGAACATGAGAATACATTTTTCTCATCAATTTGTTGATCAATTCTTAAACATAAAATATAAATTAGGGATTTAATCATGTGTACCTGATAATCCTGTAAACGTGGTTAGAGATGAGGCCATGATTCTCACGCAGATCGAGTTCCCGTTTAGGGTGTATCGTTATGATGGCTAAGGTGAGGATGACTCACGAGAATAGAGAGGCAGAGACGAGGCGTAAGATTGGTGTGTTCTGATCTCTCCCTAATGACCTCTATATATACACCCAAGGGGAAACCCTAATTAGGTCATAAGGGAAATTACGTCCATCGAATAATTACCATTTAAATACGTAGGGTATTTATTAGGTCAATGATCAATTAATTAGATAAATGATAACTCAGGCCACATAATAAAATCGTGTCTAACATTCTCCCACTTGGCCGAGTAATCATTTATGATGAGTATTAGATAAGTTTGATCAGATTTTAATACTCATTTTAGTTCTAAACCGAAATTATAGCAGAGAAATACAGTCATTGAATCAATAATCAATTCAAGACCCCCATTAATCATACTACAATACCAAATTTAAAACTTAAATAAGCTAAGGATCAAATTGACAATTAAGCCCATAACATTATTTTGTATAAATATTGACAATTAAGCCCATTACATGATGGCCCCTGTCTGTGCCATCATGTAATTATCATTAAATATTTATCATTATGATTCATCAAATTGACCATATGATAATATGTGCCATATCATGAATGTTACTATACATTTTGTGGACGTATACATATGTATATGTCTGTGAATCATTCTACAATTCTAGCGTGGTACCACTCAGCGGTTTCGCTGAGCGTGTAGTTTGTATTTTTCGTTGACTACACGTAGGTAACAAGAAGACAATGATGGAACCATTCCTGGAGGGCATTGAGTCAGAGGAGATGCAAGGATGGCAGGCAAATGTTTGATCATCAGATTTTAAAATGTGTCATGATTTGATTATTATTGTATTTCCGTATTACTCTGAAAATATTTTTAAATGGGTCGCGATCCAGAGTCTGTAAATTTAATATTTATAAGTAATTGTCATTTTCAAATGTCAAGCGAAATAACTCTCATTTCACCTTAATTCGTGTAATTCCGGGTTATACAGATTGGGGTGTTACAATTACTTTTCCAAGCTTTCCTTCTCCATTGAGTATCCCATTAGAAAAAGCTTGTGTGTCCCTATCCGTGGAAGAGGACACTGATGAATGCAATCTTACTCTTCGTTAACGTATAAACTTTACAATATGACCACAATTTTGATAATTGATGGTAGCACCTACATGTCAATTATGTTTTGTCTATTATGCATGCAAAAGCTTGATGAATTTAGTGTAAAATTGTTATCTGCTTGAAGCACTGTATAGATATTTTTTTAGAAAAAATGTACTGGAATTATAAAATATTTAATTCGAAATACAAATACCATGTGTCACATCACATAACATATATTACTTCTTAAATGAGTTTGATTATGCGTGGTTATAGTCAATGACGATCCATCTCTATTCGTATATGTAATATCTAACATAAAATTATACTAATATTTATCTCATTAAAAAGTACAAATGTTTTTTGTACTTTTTTGGCATGCGTTATAAATATATTTTTTATTTTTTTATACATAACTTTTTATAATAAAAGCTTTGGTCCATAATGCCTTTCTTATGTATATTTTAATCCACTATAAAATTTTTATATTTTAATCATCATTAAAATACCATTGTTATCATCATTATTATTACTATTATTCAGCATCACTTAGGGACAAAATTTTAATCGATGTTCTTTATAAATGATAGTTTTTCAAAAAATAGAAGCTTCGGGTTCCTTATGAAGCATATGAAGTAAAAATGGAAAGTGGTGGGTAGTTTTACAAATTTACATAAAAATAAATTTATCTTGTCGAATATTTTCAATATTAAATAAAATATTTGTAACTGCATATGTCCTTTTCCTTATTCCTTTAAATATTTTCCATGTTAGTGAAAATATTTATATGAAACTCCACATGGAATTTCCCATTATTTTATAATTTATAGAAAATATGTATGAATAATTTAATGAGTTGAAATCATACAAATATATTCATTTTTGCCAAATTTTTCCTCATTTAAAATTTAATATATAATTTTATTTCTAAAATAATAAAGTAATTATGTATATTAAGAGCTTTAATAAGAAAACTTCCATTCAATGCTCTTGCATACATGGATGAGGAGGTGTTAAAAAATTATTTAGTCACCATGCCAAGTGTCGTAATTCTGAAAGCTCAACTCTCCTTTTTAATATATAAAGGATAAGAAGATATGGAGTAAAAAATTGATTCTACCCCATCCAACTAAGAAAACTACAATTTAATTGATGGTTTTTTCAATTTTTTTAAAGGAAATAGTGGAAATGCATATTAAAAAATACAAAGCACTATCAAAGAGGAAAAAAGAAGAATTTAAAAAATTAAAATTTAATTGATGTATTCTTATTAAAAAAATGGTGGAAATATAAAAAAAACTTGAAAGTACTATGAAAGCAAACGAAAAAAGAAGATGAAGAATTAAGAAACTTAAATTTTAATTAAACTGTTTTTTAGAAAAATAGTGGGGAAGTCCAATAAAACAAATAGACAAAAGAAAAGAAACCAATCTAGAGAAAAGCAGGAATGAGATTCGAACACGAGCCTATATGTATTCCAGAAGCTTGCATTTCAGGTATGCTCCGCTACACTACACACGACAAGTACTTACGGGCATTGTATTTTTATATAGAAATAACACAGAATAATCAATACATATCCTACGTGGAGACTCGTGGGGTCCCGGGACTCAACGTGGGTCTGCCTCTGCATATAGCTAAATAAATTAAAGTAATTTGGTAATGTCTTAAATTTAGTGGCTTCTTTCAGCCGTTAACTCAGTGGGCAAATGCAAACGGAAAAAGGACCAAAAAAAGTGACAGAAACTTTTTAGCTCCTTATATGTTGGGGTAGATTGGTGATTTCTTCATATTCATATTTAAAATACCAATATAAAACAATGGGTGAGAGACTAACTAAGCAGTTGAAAAATGAAAACCCCCAAGTGGACTTCTAGAGGAATTCCCAAAACACTAAAAAAGAAATGGGGTGAGAGAGGCTCGAACTCTCGACCTCAGGATAACTCAGAAGCTATGAGACCTACGCGCTAGCCAACTGCGCCACCACCCCTTGTTGGTTTTGATCTATATTTTAAAATTTAATCTTCAAAGAGTGTGCATTACATAATCGCGGATAAACAAAGTCAAATGCGGTCTAGCAATCGCGAAAGCTTGAACACATTTTATTCTCTTGATTCAAAGTTCAAAAGCTTAAAATCAACATCCAACATGGAGAATTCGTGGTGTAATTTATCGTATTGTCTCCCTATTCATGTGTTTTTCACCCCATTTGAAACTCGATAAAAAAAATTAATGTGCAAATGACAAGAATTATTTCTACTGAATTTGTATATTATACATGCAGATGTGTGATATTTATTGTACATTCAAACCATCTGACATGTAAACTTATAGATTATATGATAGTTCTTTTGAACAATTAATTTTTTAATAGAAATATTTAAAGCATACATATGATTGAAATTGATGCATGTGTATTTGATGATGACACAATGTTCAATCTATTAGTAATGATACTTCCCATCTTTGTAAACCTAGTTGATGGCGTTGTGAGTTTCTGTTTTATTGCTCTATATTAATCGTTTTGCAGCACGAGAGGCAGAGGCCATTGGAATTAGGGATGATCTGAACTCCATCCCTGAGGACTTCGCAGCACTGACCGGACAATCGTCTAAGATATGGTAAATTAGGTTTTAATCACAAATTGGGCTTAGTATAGTTGTCTCACAACGCATTTTGTTAGAGTATCATCACACATCGGGAATTCAAGAACAAAATAATCGGTATATAAACTCTTGAGTTGAACTAACTAATCGATTGGATTCAATCTTTTAATGTTGTTCAGCTTAAGTGTCTTATAGCTCAGAGTCGGAGATTACCCTCTAGGCACTCAGCTCCTTGCATTGCCATTTGCCAAATGCGTATAGTAACGCCCACTGACTCTGTTGCAGTTAAGGAGAAAATTAATTGAGTAAAAGCCAAAGAGTAGGCACATGTTAATATTATGCTATCATTAAGACACTACAAAGATGTTGTGCATGCATTGTCTATTCTAATATGAGTTAGTTTTATTTAATTTTAGCTCTACTATTGATGATTATAAGTGGCTTCCAGTTTGCGTTGCAAAAGTCTTAGCTTTGTTTTTGTTTGTCACTCTACTAATAAGTAAAAAAATTTGATTATTTGATTTACTCATTCTGATACAAAGCGTAGGGGAGTGGCCCTGAATTGTACGTCCCTTAATTAAGTTTCGTTTTGGTTTAAAACGCTTTCAGTCCGTGGAAGGAAGAAAATGAAATCAAAGAGAGCAATTATTTTTTAAAAAATGTACTCTACTCACTTCAAATCACAAGCTTTATGTCTCTAGCTTTCTGTCAAAACCCTAGCAATGAGGCATCTTAAAGTCATCAACCACTTAAAGAGCTTGTTCTCTTTGTTTGATTTGATTAGTTCTAATCTGATTGGAATAAATTGTGTTATAATCTGATCAGTTGATCTGGTCTGGTTTGATATAATTGTTGTTATATTTAAAATTATTTTTGATCTAATCTTGTTTAATCTGATCTGATTCCAATAAAAATAAGTAATAAGAATAAGTTAAAAAGAACATGTTCTAACTTCCAAGCTTAAAAAATGGACGGTTGAGAAGAAAACTTGTACTAATCCATATATTTAATTATTAAATAAAGTAATGAGAAGTATAACATTCATTTTGGACATAACTCAACGGAGAACGATAGAGGCAAGTAGAGTGTTGGAAAATGGTTAAATAACGGGTTCTAACCTAATAAGAATCAACAAGATCAAAATTAGAATCTGAACCAAATGCTCCTTTTGTAGAACTAAATTCCTTAGAGATTTTTTTGCATTTTTGCAGTCACCCTGTAATTCTTTTCCACAAGCCAATACTTCCGCTATGTTTGAGATTAGTTTCAGAATTTAGTTTCAGCGTTTAGAAGCCAGTATCCAACGATGGCCTCGTTTGGCATTAACGCTGGAGACTAGCGTTAGCGTTTCGAAAATGTTATCTGACGGTAACCTTTAGCGCCAGCGTTTTCCGAATTAATCTACATCGTTAATATTTTATCCAAAACGCTAACGCTAATTGAAAATGTTCTTCCCATACAAGGCCGACATCGTTTAGCGTTAGCGCTTTCCACACTAATCTACTCCGTTTAAAAATCATCTAAAACGGTTTAGTAACAAAAATGGCCCGGAATCCAGGCAATAATTAACAACATTAGCATGAACATAGCATAACCATATTTAATTGCTTGGTAATTCTAGTTTCTAGGTAGAAAGTAGATGATCTAAATGACAATGATGTGAATTCTTTTTCTGACTTCCGAACCTTTTTTTTTGTTTTCTTTTTTTAACTTTGGTTTTTAACGCACATCCTTTCCTGGAAAAAACAAAAAAGAATCCTATAAATGCCAAGATATATCGGGTGATGAATATTCTCAAACTTCAAGTCTCCAACAAGTATTTTGTCTCTCAAAACAAAATGGATTTTGGGAGAAAAACATGTGAATGTACTGCCAAAAGGTTGGTTTATGTTGATTTGTTTTTAATTGTTTCACATTTACTTCATGTGAGACGACATATAGTGCTCGTTTGGTTACAGTTTGAGCGTTTAACTTTAACATTTTGAAAATACTTTCTAACTGTAACGTTTAGTTTTAACTTTTTCAAAAATTAATCTGCATTATTAAAAAATAGTTCAAAACGCTTACGTTAATTGAAAACGTTATTCCCAAAGAATAACATAATCTTAAGCTCTATCAGCAATGGATTCTCTCAGGTTAGTTGTGAATGGCAAAGTTGCGGTCATTACTGGTGGAGCAAGAGGGATAGGGGCTGAAACAGCAAGGCTACTAGCCAAAAACGGCGCTGATGTCATCATTGCCGACATACTGGACGACCTAGGGGCCCCACTCGCGGAATCCATCGGGGGGCGATACATCCACTGCGACGTTTCCAAGGAATCTGACGTCGAATCCGCCGTCAAGCTTGCGCTGGAATGGAGAGGGAGGCTAGACATCATGTTCAACAACGCCGGGGTAGCGGGTCCCTGCGGGAGCATCATGAACCTCAAAATGGACAAGCTGGCGAGTCTCCTGGCTGTGAACCTCAACGGGGTGGTCCACGGAATCAAACACGCGGCGCGGGCCATGGTGGGGGCCGGCGGCGGAGGAACAATCATATGCTCCTCCAGCTCGGCTGCCGTCATGGGCGGCCTGGCCTCGCACCCGTACTCCTTGTCAAAGTCAGCCATCTTGGGGCTGGTGAGGAGCGCGGCGTGCGAGCTGGGGCAGCACGGGATCCGGGTGAACTGCATTTCGCCACATGGCATCCCGTCGGAGATGCTTTTGAGCGCGTTCCGGAGGTTTCTTGGGAAGGTGGACGTGGAGGCGGAGGAAGTGGGGGAAATTGTCGGAGAACGGGGGAGTCTCTTGGTCGGGAGAGGGGGGACAATGGAAGATGTGGCAAAAGCAGTGCTGTTTCTGGCTAGTGAGGATTCTGGATTCATCACAGGACACAATCTTGTATTGGATGGGGGGTTTACTTCAGCTGTTAATCAAATGAGTTTCATATACCAAGATTGATAACAATTCAAGTGCTAATATTTGGTTAACAATGGGTTTGTCAAGAAATATCAAATGATTTTTTTTCTTCAGGAAATAGAGAATAGAGAATCCCAATAAAATTTATCTTCTTGCAACAAAGGTACGTCATGAAGCAACAACATTAACGCAAGAGAAGGCGTGTTAGCTTAAGCTGATAACAAAACCTGTTTAGCTTGTTTCACGAAAGATGTTGCGACTGAAATTATGGTTGATAACTGTGTAGTTCTCTTCGTATATCGGAATGGATTAGTCACAAACCTAATCATCCCACCATCTTGAGCACGAAATTCATTGCAAATGGCTATCTCGGTAGTTCCTTTGTAAGCTTTGCAGATGTAGCTTAAAGTCCTCTCATAATCCTGCAACAAGAGATTCCCCTCAATATTAAGTTCATCATACTAAGTGATCGTTTCGCAGCAGTTCCAGTGTTTAGCTTTAGCATTTTGAAAAATTGCTATCTAACGACAGTGTTTAGTATACATTGTAGCATTTTCAAAAGAGTAAATTACATAAATGGTCCCTAATTACAGGTGGTTTTCCATGTATAGTCCACAATTTTAAGATATTACATAAATGGTCCTTAGTTTTTGAAAACTATTTCACAATCGGTCCTCCAGGGACTATATGTGGAAAAAATATTGTCATATTTGGCCTAAAGGACTATTTATGAAATAATTTTCAAAAATTGGAGACCATTTATGTAATATCTTAGAATTGGGGACTAAAGATGAAAAACTACCTGTAATTAGGGACTATTTGTGGAATTTACTCTTTTCAAAATTAACTTGAACCACTAGAAATAATTCAAAATGCTAAAGATAATTGAAAACGTGGCTCCCGAACGAGGCTTAAGCGGAAGGGACCTGACCTCATATAGGGGTTGCCCATCCACGACAACCCACGGCACATACTCATGAGGGGGCTCAAGGGCATTTGTATCTGCTGCATAGCACAATTCAAGCTGCAAAGTCGAACACGATAAATGCAAACAGAAGTGATGAAATGTTTGGTTTGTGCAAAATCAGAATAGTGCATCTAAACAAACAGAGTTCGAATAATGAATTATGATCATAATTAGAATATGGGACCATTGGGAAAAGAAGGCTAACCTCCTTACCCCTCCCGGTGGCATAACAGTCAGAAACTGGCTTCGGATCCTTGCCGGATTTCTCATAACATGTCTCCCACTGAGTATACTTTCCGTTGTAGACCAGACTTTCCACACAATATATGAAAGGCAAGTGTTCTTTCTGCAGAATGCAGATAGATGTTAAGTCAATTGGATGGATGGCTAGAGATGCATCAAATATATGTTTTAAAAACTGTTGGGTCACATTTAAGATCTTCTAATCCCATAAAAAAAACATTAAAAACATTACATTGAAAGGAATTTCATACTAAGGTTTCATCTAGGAACAACATTTATGGTTAGGCATTTCGAATAAGTTTTTAACTATACAGATTAACTTTGAAAATGCTAAAAGCTGTCAGGCTAAAGCTAATGCCATCCAGAGCCTAAATCAACTTCCAATTCAAATGAACCAAACAGTAGGAAACCAATCTGATACATACCACATCTGGCCAGGCATCAATGGCACAAGCCTCTATAGTGTTCAAGAAACACTCCGCCGCGCCATGCTGAAGCAGAAATAGAGGAAAATCAAACGATTCAACGAATATCAATTCAAGAACCGCAAAGGGTCAACTGAGATGGACAAAAAGAGGGATAATTTGGGGAAGAACCTGGCATGTGAAAGAGGATGAGTTTGAATGAAGCTTAGCATTACCCCATGGATAAAGAGTGAGATCCACAATGTCGATTATCCCATTTTCGAAGATTTGGGCCAAGTAATTGACTATGAAATCGGCGCTGTAAGGGCAGAGGGATTCGTAGTACAGATCCAAAGAAACCTTTTCGGAAGAAATGGGAGACGTGGAGGCGAAGAACAGCAATGAAACGAGAAGGGAGATTTTGGTCTGCTGGTGAGGAGCCGCCATGGGAGAGAGATGCCAGTTGGGTGCAGCTTCTTCAGCTAGCTATTGAAGAGAGGGCCGCGGAAGGAGGCAGGGAGTTATGAACTTGTAGTGTATTCAATCCTTACTATGAACCATTTTTTGTATTCTTTTCGTCCACAAATAAACTTTTTTTCACTATTCATATAGTCAATTTTTTTTGTTGGCCTATTCTCGTCACTCATTTGATAACATAATATAGTCATATCACTTCTAGTTTTGTAGATCTTTTGATATAGTCTTTTAATATGTAATTTTTATTTTTAAATTTTACATCATTTTTCATATAAAATGATTTGAAATTTCATATAAAATGATTTGAAAATAACTTTGGTCAAACATAGTAACGCGCAACGGGAAATTTATTTGTGGACGGGAAGGAGTATTTTATAAATCACCTCTAGTTTTGTAGATCTTTTGATATAGTTTTTTAATATGTAATTTTTATTCTTAAATTTTACATCATTTTTCATATAAAATGATTTGAAAATAACTTTGGTCAAACATAGTAACGCGCAACGGAAAATTTATTTGTGGACGGATGGAATATTTTATAAGTCAATGAATTGAGATTTTTAAAAAATGATAAATTTTCAAGGATTGTTATAAAAAATAGATTCTAACGGATTTTTAGCTTGAAATATAAATAAAAAACTTGTTTGCAAATCCAATCGAAACCCCAGAGATTTTGTGTGGACTCCAAGAGTCAGACTTCTTTCGCTCATCTTCTCGATCTCATCCGTCGGCCGGTCTTTTTCTCTTCTTCCGCAAGAGTTCATCTTCTCGATCTCCTCCTACGCCGGTACAGGTTTGATACAAATAGTTAATTATAATATTTTAATTAGTTATATTATTATTTAGTAGTTATTTATCCAATTGATACGATTATCGTATCGGATAGGGAATAACTTTGAGCGTTTTTCAAGCTCCAAGAAGAAGAGTTGGAGAAAGGTGGAAAACTTTGAGCGTTTCCGAGCTCCAGCGAAAAGAGAGAACGAGATTAAAAATAATTCTTGTAAATTGATTGATTAATAATAACGAAGTGTTACAATATATAAAGAACGCAGATAACCCTAAATGACCTAATGGGCTCAGGCCCATACTAAAACCCTAAACTATCAATATTAATAAACAATAATAAATAACTACTAAATAATAATATAACTAATTAACATATTATAATTAACTAGACGTATCATTCCCACCCCCTTAAAACCCACCTTGTCCTCAAGCTGGAGGCTCTCACCCATGCTTCTAGACTAGAGAGATAATGCTAAACCAAATGAGCAGTCCATTCTTTGAATCTTCAAAAATCCTAGCTCTTGCAGCAAAGTGATGGCAATATGAGACGCGACACATAAAATATGTAGTTGCTCTCTGTGAAACCAGATGCTCTGCCTCGACCACATCGATATGTCAAACAACTTAATGGTATCATCAAATGAAATGAGGTTGTCTACTTGCTTATTATCTGCATCTGTCACCTTCTCGATGCTTGCTAGAACTCCATACTCTGCATTTGTCATCCCAACTGAGGCCTTTAGTGGTACAGATAGTTCATGAGGTGTAGAATCTGATTTGTTTGATGGCTCGTCACTCTAAATATTAGCACCATAATCTTCATCAAGAGCACCACTACCATCATCACCAATGATGCCAGACCTGTTATAATCGTCCTCATTGATATGAGACCTCACACTTGATTCTTTTGACTCGTCTATGTCCTCCATAGTCGGGGCGGGAGTGTGGTGACATCTTCCATCATGTGGACAAATGTGTCTCTAGCCTTTTTCAATGTCTTCTCAAAACAAATATAATCCAAATCATGTGGCGGAGCAAATCGAATTTGAAACTTTTTAACAAAACCCTCCCAACCATCAATTAAGCCACCACGCATACGTCAATTAAACCAAGACAAGGCAGAGCCCTCTACCATTGATGTCACACGGTGCAAACGATTTGCTAAAGGGATCTCATAAAACTGGAAATACTCACATACCTTGACTAACCACTTCAAGGGTTCAGTTCCATCACACTTTGGGGGCAACATTGGTGGAGGAAGTGGAGTGTCTATCACTTTCCGTAGAATACCCATAATGTGTGTTCTGAAAATTTGTAACTCAAAATTAAAGGAATTTCACTTGACACAATTGGAGGTCCACGAGCCAAATCCTATACCGAGCAAAAAATTTCTACGCCGAGCGCATCATAATCAATTTGACCTTCAAAATTAGGGATCGACCTGAGTTTAATAGTGATTTCATACACGTGATCAAAAATCATACAAACTCCTTCATCATACTCAATTTCTCCATAAAGATCATTCTCCAGTAAATCAATAAGTTTATCCAATACACGAGTACTCATAAGTCATAATCAAAGCTTCTAATCGCTTGAATTGAGCCTCCATTCGGACTGAAAAATTTGATGGCATTTGAGGGTACAAATGAGGGAAAGTATCCATTGAATTGCCGCACGAGATCAAGACTCGGGACCATTTGGGGACGACAAATTGTGATAATTGACCAAAATAATTGGGAGCAAAATGGATACGGCAGCAGCGTGATGTATGCCTATGGATCTGATTGACTTTTCTTTTTGATACCAAATTAATTCAGAAAAAAATTGAAGCAAGTGATGTCAAACCAACAGTAGCAACAACTCAATGAACAATTATCAACCATTCTGAAAGTTCTAACACATGTTTTTTCTTTACACATGGATAATCTGATCTTTCTTCCTTTTAAGTCTTTATCCCCACACTTGTGTAAGAATGTGTCTTCTATTAATGATTATGCTTGGATTCTAGACACTTGAGTATAAACCATACATGTGCAAATGACAAATTCATTTTTTATATCTCAAACCTCTTTACATCCCTCAAAATATCATATTACCCAATAACTATAAAATTCCAGTTTTAAAATTTGAAAAGTCATCTTAGCTCAAAATGTCACCCTATGAGATGTTCTATTTGTTCCAAAGTTTAAGTACAACTTGCTCAATGTGAGTAAGTTATGTAGTCAGTTGGGAATTACTAATAACTTTACTCACAATCTCAGTACTGTGCAGGGCCCCTCAATGAAGAGGCCAGTATATTTCAAGAGGATCTCCAAATCACACAACTTCGCATATTTTTTATAGCAATTCTGTTTCATCTGATATTGTGTTTCCAAGTTGCTCTATAAATATTATTAGTTCACATATTTATGTCCCATGTAATAAAGCTTGTGGATCTGTTGATGTTGTTCTTTGGCATTTGAGATTGAGACATCTACCTTTATACAAACTGAGATCCATTATTTCTTTTGATCATATAATAATACAGATTCCATTTCTACTTGTGATCTTTATCCTAGAGCTAGGCAACATACACATCATTTTCTATATAGTCAAAGTTACACCACTCACATATTTAAATTGATTCATATAAATATTTGGGGTCCCTGCCACACTAAAGCTCATAATGGTTTTTCCTACTTTCTTACCATTGTGGATGACTTCTATAGAGCCACATGTACATATATTCTTTCTACAAAAAGAAATGCTCCAGATTTGATTCAACTATTTGTCGCTATGGTTCAAACTCAATTTGGAGTCTTCATTACAACAATCGGATCTGAAAAAATGCTCTTGAATTGGGTAAGAGTAAAGTTACATATCAATTCTTTCTGTTCAAAGGTATCCTTCATCAAACAAGTGTCAGAAATACACCATAACAAAATACTGTAGTTTAAAGATGATATAAAATTTAAGATATTAACAAAAATAATTATGACCAAATAACCCTTAAAGATGTCAAAGTACTCTTATTTGTTCCACATGCGCGGGAAGAGGGAGCGGTTGTGGATTTCTGGTTTAGGAAGGCAAAATAGGAGCGGACGAAGGCGTGTTGGGCACATGTCTTTTCGGGGCAGAAATGGCACTTGGTGAAACTAGAGAGATCAAACGGCAGTCGTCCAATCCCGTTAGGGGCGATGTCAGACTAGAAATCCGCAACCGCTCCATCTTCCCGCGCGTGCAAAACAAACAACATTAAGTTTCAATTAATAATATATGGAGTACAATGAAAATAGCACATGTGGGACACATAGTATTAAACCACAATAAAAAAATGGAACACAAAAAATGCAATAAGTTTTAAAACATTAAAAATATATGCATAAAAAATACATGGAATATAAAGATTTAGAGTTTTTAAAAACTTATTGAAAGTCGGGTACATGTCGGGTTGGTTCGGGTACAGGTCAGGTCGGTCAAATATATTAACCCAAACCTAACCTGACAAAAGTCGGGTTCGATTTAATTTTTTTCGGGTTGGTTTCGGATATTTATTTTTTCGATTCGAATTTGGATATAATAAGCTCCGGTCGGGTCGGTAAAAGTCGGATTCGGATAGAATTGTCATCCCTATTTCCTCCATCTAACAATGATGATGATATCTCACATCTTACTACAAGCTCAACTTCACCTCAAATTGTTTATGTCCACATTACTCCAGATATACCCACTTCATCTCTTGACACAACTCTTTCAGAACTATCCTGCACATCCACAATTTCAATTCCAATTCCACTTAGATACTCTACCAGATCACACCATCCACCTGCATACTTGAAGGATCTAGTTTGTCAATTCTCTTCTTCCTCCACCTTAGATCCTATTTTTTTGTAGCCATACAATCACTTCTACTTCCATTCCCTCGCACATATGTTTTAATGCTCTAACTTAAGCTAGTCAACAATTTTTTCACAATGTTTCAAAAATGCAGGAACCAAAGACTTATGAGGAATCAAGGTCCGATTCCAGGATGGCAAGAAGCCATGAAAAAAGAACTTCAAGCCCTTAAAGATACAAGAACCAGACTGTTTGTGATCTCCCAAAAGGATAGAAGCCTATAAGTAGTTGATGGGTGTACAAAATCAAGTATATACTTGATGGAAGTCTACAAAGGTACAAGGCCAAACTTGTGATTCATGGATGTAATCAGAAAGCATGGATAGACGACCATGCAAACTTTTATCCTCTTGTGAACATTACCACTGTACGCACTCTCATAACATCATCTGTTACGAAAGGTTGGCCCATATTTCAACTAAATGTCAATAACACTTTTCTTCATGGATATTTGGATGAAGACATTTTTATGAAACCTCCCTAACGGTTGTACATCACATCCAACAAAGTACTCAAATTACAAAAGTCTTTATATGGTTTGAAATAAGCTTCTAGATAATGGTACTCTAAACTTTCAGCTACTCTTAGATCTAGAGGTTATGTCTCTTCTAAAAATGATTACTCCCTTTTTACCAAGAAGTCAGGTACCTCGGTGATTCATCCTGCCATCTATGTTGATGACATCATTATCACCGGCAATAACCCTATAAAAATTGAAAACTTGAAATCACATCTTGATTCTTTATTCAAGATTAAGGATCTTGGTCTAGTGAGTTAATTTTTTGGTCTTGAAATTCTATATCATCTAAAATGCCTTATTATCACTTAAAGGAAGCTAAGTTTACCCTTGAGCTTTTGAGGAATTTTGGTTGTGAGAGTGTTCATCCAACAATGTATCTTTTAGAAGCACATCTGCAATTACATATGGACTCTGATCCTCTTATTTCAGATCGTGCCTCCTACAGAAGTTTACTAGGAAAAATGAATTTTCTCACCCACACCAAGCTAGATATTGCTTATATGCTGCATAGATCCTTAGTCAAATTATGAAATATCCAAAGCAAAACACTGAGATGCAACTATGTATCTCTTCATTACATCCATGGTAATCCATCTCAATGCCTTCTTCTCAACTCCTCCAGTGATTTCAACTAGAAGCTTAATGTGATTCAGACTGGGCTTCATGTCTTATTTCAAGCAAATAAGTGAGTGGATACTTTTTTTTCTTCTAGGTTGAAGTCCTATCTCATCAAAAGCCAAGAAACAACCTATTGTTTCTCTCAGCTCTTCTAAAGCTGAGTATAGATCGATACGACATGCAGTGTGACTGCTGAGCTCGCTTGGCTTTCTTGCCTCATTGCTAGGTTTAATATCCCTGATATCCTTCCTATCCCCATTCCTTGTGACATTAAGGCTCTAATCTATATTACCAACAACCTTGTTTATCATGAAAGGACTAAGAATATAGAGCTTGATTGTCATTTTGTTCGTGACAAGTTTTAGCATGGCCTCATCACACTCACTCATATTCCTAGCACACTTTAATTGGTAGATATATTCACGAAGAGCTTGCTGGGACCAGTTCATCATCGTTTGCTTTCCTTTTGTATAAATCGAAGTGAGTCCAACATCATAAACTGAAAAAAGATAATTTAAATTGGAACAGAAGAAGTACTATTTTTGTTTCATTTATTTTATTTTGTTTGTTTCATTATTTTTATTTTATGTCATACTCGATTGTAATAACATGATTTAAATTTATTCTTAGGAGGGTGTATTCAATCTTGATTCTAACAAATTCTGATAAATTATATATAATCTATGGATTTTGTAAAATTCATAAATTGTTTTAAATCTACGCAAAGTTATATAGATTGTAGTGTATTTTATGAGCAAGATTTTATAGGATTAATTATTTATAATTCATCCCCACAAATAGTTTGGCTTCCTCCAGCGGTGCAATTGAGCTCGCCGCGAGAATCCACAACAAAAATTGACCATAACACCAAGTAAAAAGTAGTGCAATTCCTGATCCAAATACACACCATGAACAGCGACTTCGTGTTCTTCATAAATCCTCAAATCTAATGAAAATTCAAATGGATATGAAATCCACCTTAATACCTTGAAAGAGGAATGGAAATCACTCATAATCCCCAAAAGGTTAGCCATCAAAGGTGCTTGGCTTGTAGTGAATCGAGCAACAAGATTCGTAGGTGAACAGTATCCACAGTGACGTTGACCTTCAATTTTTAAGACTCCAATTCGAAAAGAAGCAAAAAAGCCTCTAATATGGAATCACTTCTTGAAGGCGATCCTAGAGTTCCAAAAATCTCAAGAAACGAGCTTTAATCGATGGTAGCATAAAGAAAACGAATTCTCGCAACACTGTTCATTGGAGAGAATTAGAGAGACTCCATCTTCCATGTTGAGAGAGGTGGAAGTGGTGGAAGGGAGATGGAACGAAACTTCCATGATAGCTAATGAAGAGGAGTCGGAAGATGAAGAGCAACTGAAGAAAGACGAAGATGAATCGTAGCTGATACGAAAGAGGGGAAAATAATAGGAGTTGGGCAAAATCTCTACTTTGTTGATTGGATTTGTAGTACGATATTTTTTTATACTTAAGCCTACCAAATCTTTCACAATCCATATGGATTAAAAATTATTTAAAATCTATCAATTTTTGAATATCATTAGATTTTGAAGAATTTCTCAAAATTTCAATTGAATACATTTAGATTTTCAATGATTTTTTAAAATCTCAATTGAACACCACTGACTTTTAAAATATAAAAAAATCCATCAAAATCCATATTGAATACACCCACCTTAGTTTATGGTGCTTCTAAACATTATTGGTTGATTTTGTTGACAGTAGACACGATTAGCACAATAGTGTCTTTGTAGAACATCTACGATGGTTTTTTCACAAAATCGATAGTTCACACCATCTATAACCTCTGCGTAGGCTCCTTCACCCTCGCGTGACCTGAACCCCCCATGCCACTCCCTTCAATTGTATTTCAAAATTTAGTTGACTGTAAGGTTAAATATTTTAAGTCAACTTAATTTGATATATATAATTGAAGAAGATGACAGGGTAAGTATAGATCTGGCCGCGATGATGAGTTCATCGAGGGTTAGAGCATACTCTATTCAATTTCTTCTTATACAAATTAAATCATATCAAAAATAATTTTAAATAAAACTATAATTATACTCCCTCCGTCCCCAATTTGATTACAATTTTTTTTCTCTCTCCTCTCGAAAACATTTTTTTGTTTACGCTATTTCATTAAGTATTTGATGAAAAATATTCTTGTCACCTCTTGTTTTGTAGAACTTTTGACGTAGTTTTTGTAATATGTAATTTTTATTTTAATCGATATACCGATTTGTAAATAAAATAATTTTAAAAAATGAAATATTTCTTCTCATAAACCCTAATTTGTAATTAAATTGAGGATAGAGAGACTAAGAGAGACTAAGAGAGTATTATATTAGATTGGACCCGATCAAAATTTATTTTTGACAATGTAAACAATGACAACCAAGTGAATAGACCACTGGCATAGTACAAAAAACTGATATATACGGCATTCCGGGTCAATCGATACCCTCTTTAAAAGCTGTAACTCTTTCTCAAGCGGACTCCCTCAGCTCTCTTGCTGAAAAACCCTAGTCGGATTGAACCATGGCTGGCATGTATGGTTACCAAGGAGATGGCTCGGCACCGCCACCCAGGGACGGCGGTAGCGCAGGCGGGGGAGGATTTGCAGGCTCTGGTGCCGGAGGATACGGGTCAAATGGTCGCGGATCATATGCTGGATCTGGAAGCGGAGATTATGGATCTGGTGGTGGTGGAGAATATGGATCTTCTGCAGGTCGAGGATACGGATCTAATAGCGGCGGAGGTGGTTATGGCGGAAGCNGGGGGAGGTGGTCATGGAGGGAGCAGCGGGGGAGGTGGTGGAGGTGGTGGTGGTTATGGAGGAGGTGGAGGCTATGGTGGTAATCAACAGAATCGAGGTAATTAATCTCGATTGTTATTGAAATAAGTATTACTGCTAGCCTCCTTACACATGATGTTGTGATATTTATCTACTCCGTATTTACTTTTTGAACAGGTGGTGGCGGATATCAAAGAGGAGATCGTGGAGGAAGTGGAAGAGAAGGTGGTGGAAGAGGAGGTGGTCCTGGTGGTAGCGATTGGCGATGCCCCAACCCGAGGTAATAATTGTCTCCCAGCAGATCTTAATTTCTCGTTTAAGTCCTTTGATTTTCGCTACTTCATCATTTAATTCTTGACAGTATCATCACATAAACATTGATTTGTTCATGCAAGCATTCATACTCTTCTTTTATTTTGTGAAATTCAATTTCGTTGTCTTGTAACTATTCCATAGAAGTCTACTGTTATGTCCTAGCTCAAGGGAAGAATACTGTCAAGATGTTTCCTTTTTCCTCCTGCTAGAAAATTTCTTTTTTTTTTCCAAAGAAAAGTTTTGGCAACTAATTTGGGTGTTTTTTTGTCACCGGTGAATGCTATTCTAAGTTACATTTTCTGTGGAATGGTATTAATCACGACATGTGTGGCTCTGTAGTTGTGGAAATGTGAACTTTGCTAGAAGAGTTGAATGTAACAAATGTGGTGAGCGTGCTCCTGCTGGTACTAATGATCGTGGTGGCAGAGAGGGTAACAATTATAACACGGGCGGGGGTGGCTCATATGGTAATAATAGAGGTGGAAGTGGTAGGAATTTTGATAGTGGAAGTGGCAGAGGTGGTAGAAGCAATTCCTATGGTGATAATCAGGGAAGAGATAACAGTGGTTATGGTCAAGGTCCTCCTCAATCATATGATAACAATTACCCCCCACCTTCAAGTGGTTATGGTGGAAAGAATAATTATCCACCTGATACAGCTCCTCCTGCAAATTATGGCAGCGGACCAACTTCATATCCCCCATCATCATATGGTGCACCTGCTGGTTATGGTGGCAATACTCCAGAAGATGCCCGAGGCGGGGGAAGGACGGGCCCTCCTGCTAGGCATGATGGTGGGTATAACGATGGTGCATTTGGTAGTTCTGATGCTCCTCAAAATGTCAAGCAATGTGATGAAAATTGTGGTGACTCGTGTGACAATGCAAGAATCTATATATCAAATTTGCCTCCTGATGTGACCATTGACGAACTTAGAGATCTTTTTGGAAGCATTGGACAAGTAATATGCGTATTTCCTTTGGTTATGACTGCATTCATTATACTTTCCCCAATTTTGTCAAGTTGCAGTATTTCTTACACATCACTTAGCCTAACAGGTTTTCATTGCATTTTTTTGAGACCCAGAAAGTTTGCTGACAAAATTGAAAATTTTATTTCTACTGTTTGCAGCGTTCAATCATTATTGGTGTCGTTATTGGTTTAAGCATATATTCTCTGAATTGAATTGGATTTTTTTCACAACTAGGTTGCAAGAATTAAGCAAAAGAGAGGCTACAAGGACCAGTGGCCCTGGAGTATAAAATTATACACAGATGAGCAAGGAAATAATAAAGGTGATGCAGTTCTAACCTATGAAGATCCTTGTGCAGCCCACTCTGCCGGTGGCTTCTACAACAGTACAGTCAAATCCTGGTTCTGTTAATATTAATATGAACTTCCTTTGCTCGTGTAATTTACTAGAATATGCTGTTTTTGTCAGACCACATGCTTAGAGGTTATAAAATAAGTGTTTCTATGGCTGAGAAGTCTGCTCCAAAACCTGCTTCTGCATATGGGAACAGGTAATTGTTTTGTTTGTATGAATGAGTCTTGGCCACTTTTCGAGATTCTTCAGTTACATCTTAGCATCTTCATAGATGTGTGAATATCTTGATGATGTATGCAATAGTTTTTATTAGTCAATGGATTTTTTCTAACTTATTTGTATCTCATGGCTGCACTGAATGCTCATACAGCCAAGCTCTTAAATATCTATAATGAGAGTCAAGGCTTAATCCCTAAGAGAAATTAATGTGTATCATCCAAACCTCATATAAATTATACTCTAGTGCACATGAAATTCAGATACCCCATTCAAGTAAGGTAAAAAATCTTAAATACGATTTGATGTCAGGTGTCACTTAACACTAATTGCATGATAGACGCATATAGCTCTAAACATCTTATAATCATTTAACACTTCGTATTTATGTTGGTTGTTCAGCACAGCCAATGATGGATTCTCTACATAGTCTCGGCTATGAAATTGGACTACTGAAATTTTTGTCAAGCATAAAATGGAGCTTCGTAGTACGGAGTAAAAAGTTAGAAAAGAGAGCAGTATACTAGAGACCAAAGGAAGTATTAAAATTTCTAGGATTTTAGTTGGAAATCGTAGTTAAAGTATCCTTATTTTTTAAAAAATGAGCACGACCACATTGAAAAAGGGTTTCGTGAGCCTAAAGGCATAAGCGTGGTTACTGGTTAGCTTAATGAAACTATGCTTACAATGATATCAATCATTCTTTATTAGTGTCTGGCATTATTGCATTTTTTAAAGGTGGGTATCAAGATAATTTGATTTTATGAATTATATTGTTCATCTTATGCCGGCGTTTGCTATTGAGATATAATAGTTGCATGTCTTTTGCAGGGGTGGTGGTAGAGGTGGTTACGGTGGTGGTGATAGACGGAAAGACATCTACAGGGATGGTGGAGGCTCTGGTCCAGGAAGGAACTCTTCTTTTGGTGGAAACAGAGCACACCCGTATTAAGTTGCTTTCAAGAATGTTATGTACTAAATTTGTGATGGGAGAGTTTTTCTTTAATTCGAGTCTCTTAAAATGGTGACTAAAAAGGTAGGCTGTCTCAGTTCTGAGCAATACCCTTCTTTTGGTTATTGCTACATGGTGGGGAGTTCTATTTCCAGTTAAAAACTTGATTAATATGAACTATGTGAATGTTTTTTTATAGAGGGCGAATGGATATTTCTCGCATTGCTGCTAAGTTGAAATATTCAGGTGAGTGTTGCTTTGAACATTGATTCCTCTAAGACTAGTTTTAATATTGGTGCTTTATACTATTGCCTCTGTCCCTCTTGGCTCTTCCATGTTCCAAACATTATTCACTTTCTTATTTTCTTTGATTATTTGGTAAAATTAAATAGTCTTGTCACCACTGGTTTTGTAGATCTTTTGATATAGTTTTTAAATATATATCCGAGTAATTTTTATTTTTTAGTTTCAAACCAATTTCCATATAAAAAGAGTTTCAGTCAAATATCGTAATGCGAACTGGAAAGAACCTAGAGGGACGGAGAGAGTAGTAATTATACTGAGCCTTTGCCCTCTACTGGTCTTCCATGTGAGCTTTTGATAACCATATTTGCTGTTTGTTTTTTACTTTATCATATGCTGACCATGTCTGCCCTTTCCTAATGACTTGTTTTGTTGGGGGATTTCAGTGGGGAGGGTATGATGGCTTTATGTTCGCTCTTGACTACAGTTATTTCCATTTTGCTGTTTTTTACACGTTTATTAGTGAAGTGAAGTTTGTAGGGCTTGTTTGGTTGGGGAATTTTGGAGGGGAGGGGTGGACGGAGAGTGATGCATGTACTCTATCTATCCACACTATGATGTATATGTGTTGGTCACTTTCAATTTTATGGTGGGTCTTGCAAAAAAAAAATCCAATTGAAAAGATTGCCATAAGAATTGTTGTAAAAATAGTTGTTGGAAGACTAATCCCACTCAATTTTAAAATATTATATGGAGTATTTTTGAAATATTTATATATGTACAAATATATCTTTGTTTGGTATTTGATTTTTGCAGTCTTTAATGCAATATTTTGATCATTAGTTTTTATATTTATATAAATAAATTTTGTGCATCATAAATATATGATATTTCGAAATTACATTTCAAAGTTGGTCTATTAATATTAAGTTCATTTCATATTTCTCCACCCATTGTTGAAGTTCAAAAACATAACCTCCAAAAGTCCAATGAGAAAATAGCTGGATTAATACTTCGTAATAATTAAAATGTTGTATTGGTGAGATTGAAAGTCATATATGCAATCTAAATTTGGACAATGCAATAATAAATCTTTACTAGAACTTTGCATCAATCCCCAAACCATTTAGCATTTTAGGGATGTTTAGAAAGATGACAATCCTTGGAGAAGTCTTGTTGTGATTGGCTTTATCTTTGAAAAAAATGGCTTGTATTTTAGTTACTATACTCAATACACCATTTTATATTTCTAGCACCTTTTCTTTTCCTGTTTAGGTTCCAAAATAAATTTCTCTCATTTATAGTCCATTTCTTTAAAGTCCTAATTTAAAAAATAGTAACTATAGAGGGTTTTAAGGTCGGGCAAGAAGCGGGCGTGATCCGTCTAATGTACTATGTCGAACTATTATACGCAACATATTGAAAGATGCAAATAAATTTGCCACTATGAACTATTTCGGGATTTGTCTGCAGCTTGTTTGGTGATCCTTGAAATGTGAGTATGGTTCATTTCTGGGAAATTAAGCAAAATTAGAGAAAAACCATAGGAGGGAAGAAGCAATGACAATGATGGGGATCAAAAAGAAGAAAAAGAGGGGATGGTTACCATTTTTGGCAAGAGAACAATGGTGATGGAGGGATATTGAGGAGGAAGTTGGGGAGAGAGAGACGTGTTGGAGAAATGGCGAAGGAGGACGCGAGGACAAAAGGAGGAGGATGTATCATCGGGCAAGGACAATCTTCGTAAATGTCTCATGGATTTCAAACGGGGAGAACAATTTTCGGATTTTAGCCCACATTTTCTATTGATTGGTTATATTGTTTTCAATGTCTAGTGGCGCAATTTGTTGTACGTTTGCTTTCTATTTCGATGTATAAGACAATCACGATAAAGCCAAGAGCTTCAAACTTGTTGAAGGATGAACTTTAACAAATTTATGGTTCTTTTTTAAAAAAACACCCCATCTCATTTTATAGGATTTGTTTTGAATTTTTATTTACGATCTTTGATTGAAATTATTTTCATTCAATTTATAAGATGATAGCGGTGGAATTAAAAAAATACTACTCTCTTTGTCTCTAATTAAGTTATCTGTTTACTATTCATACAGTCAAATTTCACTCACTTTATGTAAATTTTATTTTTTAAATTTTGCTCCATTTCTCAAATAAGTTGTATTGAGAATAATTTCAGTCAAACATCGTAAACAGAAACATTTAATTTAAATTGGGATGAAGGGAGTAAAAATTTACATAAAAAATTTACAAAATACGTGGTGAAATGATTGTACTTGGTATTATTTTATCAAATCACTAATAAAAATAAATAATAAAAATGAAAAAAGTTTGATTCTGTGAATAATGTATGTCATTTAATATTACTTCCTCTGTCCTAAAATGATCTTTCCAGTTCGATTTACGAGGTTTAAATGAAATTATGTTCAATTTAATTTATTTGATTATAGATGTAAAATTAAAAAATAAAACTTATATATTTTAAACCTACATCAAAAGTTCTACAAAATAAGATGTGATATAACTATATTATTTTATCAAATAATTAACAAAAATAGGTAAAGAATGTAATTAAAATTTGATCATGTAAATAGTAACTGAGAAGATCATTTTAGGACGGAGGGACTTTTATTATTATTATTATTATTATTATTATTATTATTATTATTATTATTATTATTATTATTATTATTATTAAAGAGAGAGAGAGAGAAATTGTAAGGTTAAAAAGCAACTCAAACTCCTCTGCATCACCCTCTACCGCTAGGTATATAAACTCCCAGGGAGGAGGAGGCGAGGAGCTTGTTTCTCAGTTCAATTGACTTCTCATGTCGGGACGGAATTATGCACCGCCGGATGCATTCACGCTCCGCCGCCCCGGCGATCATCGGGGCGTCCACCGCCTCCCGCCACCCGAATCGCGACGCCGACTTCCTGCCGCCGTATTGGAGGACCGCATCGCCGATCAGCACCACCAAATCCAAGGCCTCATCCTCGAGAACCAGCGATTCGCCACCGCGCACGTCGCCCTCAAGCGGCAGCTTGCCGGTGTCCAGCAGGACCTCCAGCACCTGACCGCTAGCGCATCCACCATCAAGGCGGAGTGCGATGTGGAGGTGCGCCATGTGTATGAGAATTCAATTCGAACGAATGCCGAGATCCGCGGGATGGAGGGAGTCGGTGCCGAGCTCGCGCAGGTGAATGATGATATTGGGAAAATGAGTGTAGACCGGGAAGAGCTTTGCGCAAAATTGAAGGAGGTTGAAGATCAGCTCGCTAAGCTTGAGCCGGAATTAAATCAGGTGAAGGAGATTAAAGGTGGCATTGCTACAATGCGGAAGGAGGTCCAAAAAGGAAGGTATTTCAGTAGTATATCTACACATTGACAATAGACCTGTTTGGAATAGCATTAGAGATTACTTGCTAGCATTTTGAAAAGACTTATCTACGAGTGCAGCGTCAGCATTTTCAAAACCTTTAAAATTTTATTCAAAAGGCTAACGCTAATGTCTATGCTATTCCCAAACATGCCCAATGTGACATGATTGCATTTTGGAATTGTAAGGTTCACACTTAAACTGAAACACTAAATAAATTGACTGATCTAGGTCTTGCCTAACAATCATACTGTATTTAACTGTAAAGCTCAGTTCTTCACACTTAACAATCATTCATGTGAGTCTGCTCAATAATTAAATTAATACAATATACTCCCTCGGTCTCCAAATTAGAGTTACTGATGGAATTACACGGGAAAATGGAGTCTTTTTTAATTTGCTTTATTTAAAAATTTGATATAATCATATAAATATATAAAATAAAACATACACTTTTAAAACCTATGTCAAAGCTCTGGTGATACTCAAATAGTTATCTGTAACTTTTCTTTGGGGACAAATGAAGTAATTTTTTTATGTGGTGCGTGAGATGTTCAATGTCATCTTTGGTAAACCCATGTTCTGACTAAGAATTTGCCTCGTATTTGGGAAAACAAATTAAAAAATTTGTTTTGTTGTAGAAAAATCGTGTTTTGAATCTTTCAAAATAAAGTTTTAATTGAGTGTTTGGATAGTTTGTTTGATAAAATGGTATTCAAAAATGTTCAATTAATGAGTTGTTTGCATAAGTATTTTCTACAAAATGACTGAATAGCAAAAATGGGTTTGCTATAGGGCATTTTGGTTCAAATAATACAAAGCAAAAATCAAGAAACTGCAACTTCAGTATTTTGAGTTTTATCGAATGCTCCCAAATACTTTGACTAGTAGGCACATACCAAGTGTACCCGCATAGCAAGTGAAGCACCTCTTTTATTAGGTCATGTAGTGTTACAATAGTTTCTAGCTTTAACATGCTACTTCTTGATTTGATTTTTTAACCACCTCCAATTTTTTTAAAACACTAAGAAACTTTGTCTTCTCTACCTGGACAAGGGCAGGGCTGCTGTTGAGTACGAAAAGAAGATGCAAATTATTAATCATGAACAGAGCCAGATAATGGAGAAAAATATCAAGTCTATGAGTAGTGAAATTGAAAAGTTGCGTACTGAACTAGCCGATGCGGAGAACAGGGCAAGGGCAGTTGCTGCTCTTGCAACACCAAGTATGCGGACAAATATTTATGTTCCCTTCCCTCTTGCTGCTCACCATGTATAAGTTGTTGATCTCTCTATTTCTTCAGGCCCAGCATATCCAACAGGTTATGGAGCTCCTGCAATTGGTTATGGTGGAAACATGTATCCCAACCCTTATGCTTTACAGCAGGTTCGTGTTCACATCATTGTGATATGTTCTAAAATGATTTTTTTTTGTTTTGACATCAATGCTTTTGTCATGGTCTGAATCAGTTGACCTGATTGTATATGATGGAATTAAAATACTACACAAGTATTTACTGAATCCAACATTTGAATCTTAAGAAAACATGTGTTTGAGTTAAGCAAACTTCTTTAAGTAGCACTAAAATGATACAGGCTAAGAGTGCCACGAGTTTGAATAGGATTCAGAATTTCAGATTGGGCTTGCGGCGTTGCCTTATCTCTTTATTAGTTCATCATTAGTCATCTTCATTAGTAACAGAGTACTCTGTAGTAGTATTTATTTCTGTATTAGTCCAGGAGTCCTTTTGGTGTATGGGCTCTTTATTAGTTTCATATTCGTTACTTCGTAATTCATTTCCTAGTCAGACAGTTAGGCTTTGTGTTCTCTTTTTATAACCGGGAGTATTTGGATTGGATCTATAAAAACCTAAGCTTAGGGTCTTTGGAATCCCAACTTAAACCCTAAATGCATACAGTTTCTTTCCACACTTCACTAAACCCACAGTAGCTGAAGCTAAATCTTGGTCCAACTTTAGTATTTTGTCTGTCCATATTTTTTTAACCAAGTGCTAATTTATTAATCTCACAAACATCCTATAAGTACATCAAAGCAAAAGCAATGCTCAGTATCAACTACAAAACTGCCAAATAAACTGCTATAAGAGCCCGTCTCCTCGATTTAGTGTTCTGATACAGCACTAGGAGAACCACACCTCAAAAGCTAGCTATTTAGGTGGGAGAATCCCAGGTTACCTCACGAGACCCTATTTGACTGGTGTGGGATAGGATCAGCCTGTAGCATTCGACCCCCTTAAGGACCAATGTCCTCGTTGGTCACAGCTGGATTTTACCAGGCCACCACTCTGTAGGCCACCACTTCGAGTTTGCTCTAATACCACTGATACACCACTACGGAGAACCACACCTCAAAACCTAGCTATTAAGGTGGGAGAATCCCAGGCTATATCAGCCCCTCACCAGACCCCCATTTGACGGATGTGGGATATCAGCAGTCCTTAACATGTTCTCGAGTTTAGTTGCAAATTGCAATCACCTTTACAGAAGCTCTTGTTATGTTTTGCCTTATCCAACTGGAGATGTTTTTGTGGACTGCTACAGCATAGGCGCAGGTACAGAATAGATGATCACAATCGTCATCAGCCTCCCCACACAGAATGCGTAACTGGACAATATCCATGAACTTGTTGAGCCAACTTTTAGTTTGGATTCTGTTTATGCAGATTAACCAAAAAATAAGTCGGTGCTTATGCACAGACATCTTGTTCCACGCCAGTTTAGTCCAGTCTTGAACCTCTTTGTCTCCCAAAAGCCAACTGTAGCCTTTGTTAGGATCATAGTCTCTTCTCAAAGGCATGTCCTTGAACTCTTGAAAACTATTGATGAAAGTATGTGAACAAGAACATACAGTTTGACAATTGTCTTTTTTTTTGGGATGTAATGAGTATTAATTTATTACAGAATACATAAGAAATATGAAGAAAATTTCCACCGCAACTACACAGACACGAGCTTCTGCCACAAATGACGCCATTTGCCCATGATGCACTGCCCTGTCACTTCTATTGTGCACTGCCTCTGCCACTAATTTCCACAATTAACAACGGCTACACTACTGGCTTCAGGTGCTTTCACACTGACTACTCCCACTGACATCACCCTGACTTCTGCCACCATTGACGTCAGCTGCTGCAACATTGATTCATCATTGACTCCACTTACTCATTAGAGTCATAGGTCACCATCACTGACTAGTAATGAGACAAACAAGACTGGAGGGTAAAGATGTATTGCAAATGAAGTGATGCACACTGACTTCACAAAGCTTATGCACTCTTCTACCTAAAAAAGGCAGAAGATAATGAAAGCAATGGTTTATCCGGTGGCATGTGTTTTTCAGATTTCAGAAGATTAACATAGGCGATGACGATCAAGCAGAGTTGATCGTGACCAGCCATATGCAACAGCAACAGTCAGGTGCAAGAAAGTGGGTGTTCTAGCAATGTGTCACTCCTGAGAATGGAAATTACAGCAGTAGCAGCTGGTGAGGCCATTTTGCAACTGCAATAGAGGTTTACGACTTTGGGGGAGGTTCACATTTGGGTTTTGTAATGCTTGAAGGTGTGTGATGGTGGTGTGAGGCATGTGATGGCAGAGGTGTTTGTGCGAAGTAATAAATAGAGACTTGAAGAAGAAGCTTGGGGAGAAGGGGAGTTTACAGGCTTCGGGGAAAAAGGGAGAAAGAATGAGAGATGGAGATGCAGAGATTTAACTAGGGTTAGGGGCATATATTAGACCATCTGGGTCATTCACCCCTGAAAAACGTAAAATTATCGGCCAATTGGTGGGTTGGATTGGGCCCTCTATCCCTACTATCCTTGGTGGATTCGCAGAAAACGAGAAATGCCTCATTGTAAGCGACTATTTCCAAGGAATTTGGATGAAAATGGAATTGTTATTTTTCACTGTCTCCTCTCCCATTGTGCAGCATAAATTGCAAGTATTTTTCCTAATCCCCCAGGTAACACTAGATGTTTTTATTTACACTATGTTTGGTTCAAGGATTTTGAAATGGAAAAGAAAAGAAAATGAGATAGAAAATAGCATTTCTTGTTTGGATAGAGAGGAAAAGAAAAGAAAAGTGGAAGGAAAAGGAAATGAGAAGACAAAATATATTAAGAGGAGGGAAAATCAAATTCCTTCCATTTTGGTGAGGAAAATGAGAGAAAACCATTTTCTTTTCTTTTTTCTTCCAAATTCCTTGAACCAAACATAGTGTTAGTGTGTTTTTGCCTAATGGGTCTTTCAAAGCTTCTGCTAATGAGATGATCGAAAAGGATCCATCCCCATCTTCTAGGAACTTAATTTGGAAATTAGAAGTGTGAGAACACACAATATCTTTCCTATGGCTAGATTTTAGAGAGAATTTATCAGCTAATAGTTGCTTCCGTCGCTCACTAACCGATGATAATTTGTGCACACTCTTCAATTTCCCAAAGAAGGACCTGCTCCATAACTAGAGAAATCTGAAAGATGTTAGTCACTACAATGGCTACTGCAGATTTTCTTTTCTCGCTCACTAACAATTGGTCTGGAACAACCTTTGCAAAAACAACCTGGAAATTTGGATTCTGAACTTGGAAAATGGGCGCAAATACGTTCTATTGTGTGTTCACTGATCTGGATATGGAGAATCAAATTCAATTTTTGAGGGTACTGTTCTCCCATCAAAGGCTGCTCAATGGATTAAAAATATTGTTGTCGAAAAAGATTTTTCTTGGCAAAAGCTTAATTATATTAGTCATCCTTACCTACAAAAAAAAAATATGTGCCCCCATGGGAGGTACCATCATGATTCGTGCTGATGGTAGTGCCATTAAAAATCAGGTGATATTTCAGAGGATGGCATTGCTAGAGACTAGAGACAGCCATGGCAATTATCTCCTCAGTTTCACCTGGAAGCATCCTTGTTTTCGAATTTTGGGCTTTGGTACAGTCTCAATGAAGCCATAGATCACCAATACTGAAAATTTTTTGCCAATAGTGACTGTCTTGTTACAGTCAAGCTGCTTTCCTAAAAAGAACCTATCCACCATCACCCACAATCCCGTCTAATATGTGCTTGCAATGAACTGATTAAGAGTTCTATATGTGTTTTATCAATCAAAACCACTCTACCACAGAGAGTCCGACCAAGTTATTGATGGGCTTGCCAAAAAGTTCAGTCTTATTCAAACTGCGTTTGGCATTGTCTTTATGGATTTGCCTTCGTGGCGCATTAACATTCACTTAGTTTTCTATTTGTGATTGCTCAAGTCTATGTAGTATAAGCATGCAATTTCCATTTGGCTCAACCCTTACATCAAAACGACCCATTAAATTCCCACAAGTGGGGTCTGGGAGGGTACATGGACACAAACCTTACCCCCACCGTAATCCCAAAAGGTAGAATGGTTTTTCCAAAAGACCCTTGTATTTAAGAAAACACAAAACATGTTCGCACCCAAAAAAAGAGCAATATGGGTAAAACAACTATCAAAGAAGCAAATAACAAACCCTTACAAATGTGTCCCTCAACTCAGCATTTAACTCCCTCCGGTAACCTGAAACTAGTGGTAAATACAGTTCCGATACTACTTAACATGTTGCGTACACGCAAGGAGCCATGAAGTTAGAACTGGAACCTCTTGATTTAACCTGTTGTTAGTGTTATCAACTGGCATTTCTTTATTAACCTCTTTCCCTTACCTAAAAGCTATTTTGCACTCTGTTTTCAGGCTTGACACTATCTAACACCAGTTACCCATCATCATTTTCACTGTTCAGGTTCAGCCTAATGCTGCCAGTGGATATGGTGGCGGAGTACATTACAATCCATTTCCTTAATCCTTGTGATATGCAGCAACAACCGAACATTTCATAGATGGATCGTCTGCACTCCACACAGAATGGTTCTGGGGTAGAGCATCGCCACCGCCTTTACAGCATAGAAGAAGCAGAGTGAAGAGACTACTGTAATTGTTGCCCCCGCAAGGACGCATACAACAAGTCACAAGCAAGCCAAACGAGGAAGGGAAGTAGCAGATTGAGGAGGCAGCGTTGTTCTTCGTCGTCTTTTTTTATCCTCTGCATATCCTCGGTGTGCTTTTCTTCTAGTTCACTTCATGTTGCCGTCTTAACGTACTCTTTTAGGAACATAAGAATCATATGACGATTGTTGTTGTTCAATTGATTCTTTACCCATACTATTCATGTGGTCAAATTATTTTACTCGGTAACTCGGGTATCTTTTATATATATACACTTTCATCTAAAATAATGCAGTCATGACACTTCTTATTTTCAACCAATATTTTGAGAAGTTTGAACGGTGGGTTGTCCGCTTCACATTATTTTCTCTTATTGTTGGATTGATGAATCGTTTTTGTTCTCTGGGCTTTAGGATGGCACAACGATGAAGCAATCGAAATCTCTAACTTCCGGGGCAAGTTCAAATGCTTAATGTAGTTGTCGTCGAAGAGCTTATTGGTCGGAGAAATAGAGGTCTTCTCCCAATGTCAAGTAAATCTAAAGTAAAATCATCAAAGCCTTAGAGCACTGGAAATATCGGGCTTCAAATTGGAATTTCAGACTTTCTTTTTACCCATCAACTCTGATCTTCCTTTAACTTATACCATAGATTCACGGGAAATACCGGTCTTCGAACCTTTATTTTTTCAAATTTTTTAATATACATTCTAAAATTAAAATTAAAAATTTTTCATTAATAAAAATATAAAAAAAAATTACATTATTTAAAAAAACATAAAATAAAAAGAAAGTACATCAAAATAACTGGGGCTTCAAACCCATCTTTTTTTAATCTTTTAATATACATTTTATAAAAGTAAATTCATAAGATTTCATTAATTAATTAATTTAAAATTTACAATAATTCATCAAATAAAAGAAAGTACATTAAATTTAATAAATATAAAAAAAACACTACTCCATCAATGTTTAAATATTGAAACCCTAACTTGTAATTTTTTTCCCTTCTCTTTCGTGCGTGAAAATTTGTAGAGGACTGTATTGCCTGCCTGCTTTCTCCTCTTCTCTTCCGCATCAAACGTTTAACGTAGACCAAGTAGCGCGACCTTAACAACTAAGGGAGGTCGTGTTTAACGCCTCTAACAAGTTAAAACTTGCATAACGAGTGTTAGGAGTATTTCCATTACTCTTAGGCTTAGAGGTTTGATGGGACTTGACCACTGCCACGTAGGAGCCATGTGGCATTATCTTCCAATCACTCCCATTGTTGGGTTTTTGGCTATGTACGTATGCTATTAATATGTTGGGTGTTGACATTATCCTTTATGACAAAAACAATTAGTTGGTTAATTATAACTATTGGGTTGTAGTGTCCTGCAAAGTCATCACACAGCTATGGTTGCAAAACCGAATCCTATTCTTTGTGTGCTTAGAGGTCTGGTTGAAGTAGCATGTGGTATCTTGCGGTTTGAAGAGTCCTATGAGACTTAGAGGTGTTCAATGTTGATGAGTCCTATGAGGACCATGATAGGATTCTCGCCAGTTCATTTGTGTAAATACTCTTGGACGCTAGGGGATTGAGATAGAGAGAATAGAGAGAGAAACTCCGTGAGGGACTGAGAGAGGCTAAACCTTGGTGAAGAAGACGGATCAGGGGACCATGTTGGGATCCTTCTGATTAACTCCGATAAGTTGCTATTTTATGCACAAGTAGATCGTTGCTACCCTGCGTATTGATTGCGTTTCTGTGATGAGAGAGTTGTACTCATCATCTAGCTGTTGATCTTAGAAGGGCTGGAAGAAGGGCTGATAGCACGTCCAATAACAGGAGTTATCGAGGTTGGTGTAATAAGCCGTTGGGTGTAACACAAACAGAATTTGGTGTTAAAGTCATCTGTAGTAGATTGGTTCAATCCACTAGCTGGTACCGTTAGTGATTGAAGGTGTAATCTTTACAATGATTTAGTGGAAGAGTTATTACACTGGCGTGGGCCCCCGAATGTAGGAGAGATCTCCAAACTGCGTAAATAATTCTCGTGTTTGATTTACTGCTTTTATTTCATTATTTGTGTGCTTGCCTGAGACAGAGAAAGTGCTTTAGCACTAACTCTGTCTCATAGTATTGAGAGAGTAGTATTATCGTGTCGAACTGTTTAAAGTATCTGTTGTGTGGTTATTGTTGATCTCTACAGCAATTACACCCATCACTTAGGCTATGGGGTGTGCTTCCCATCTACCCTTTCTGCCAATCAGCACCACACCACCTTCAATTTTCTCTATCCTTTTTCCTTTCAGGGGTGTGCCTCCCCTTTCTTTTCCCCTTTCATTCTAATTTTTAATTTTATTTTTTAAAACTTAATTTAATTAAAATAATTAAATTGAAAACATATAATATAATTAAATAATACAAATATAAAAAATTCAAAATAAAAATAAAAAGAAATCAAAAAATTGAAAATAAAAAAAGGAAAAGAAGTAACAAAATAAAGAAAGAATAAGGAAGCAACAAAAAGGAGAAAAGAGAAATAGGAAAGGAAGAAGCGAAAAAATCCAAAAAAAAAAAAGGAAAACTTGAAAATCATGCACGGGAAAAATGGGAAGGGGTCTTGTCTTTCCCGTTCCCGCATAGGGGGGCGGTGTTCCTCTTCCTTTCTCGCTTCCACCTCATCTTCCCGCATGGCCATCCCGCGGCACACCCCCATAGCCTTAGAAGTGTGATATGCTGGGATTTGAATGTATTATTGAGTAATGATCATATGTGTGTGTGTATATATATATATATATAGAGCAATGCTATGTTCACAAATACAATGGTCACAAATTTCACAAACTTACTATTTATGATTTAAAATTTTATTTTAAAATCATTTTAGACCATTTAATTTTATGCATGGAAGTTCACAAATAGTAAGTTTGTGAAATTTGTGACCATTGTGTTTGTGAACCAAGCATTTCCCATATATATATAAATAATTTGGTTCAAATGAGAATGATGCATAGTGCGTGTTTCGATGTTTGACTGAAATTATTTTCAAATCATTTTATATGCATAGTGCATTTCCCAAAATAAGTTGTCTGTTAGTTGTTTTCGTAATCTTTTAAAAATAAAATACCTAACTACCCCTAAAATAAGTCACTCTTCTTCACCTTATCTTCTCGTTCATCATCACCCCTCCTAAAAAGTAATGTCAATTTCGAAAAATCAACTCTAATTTTTTTTTAAATATGACCAAAAGGCAAAACAAACAATTTAAATTGGGACGGAGGGAGTATTTGACAAAGGGAGTATACATATAGAAAATGTTAATGTTTAAAAAAGAAGTGAAGTTAGTGGGGCACAAATGAATTGGCAAAGGCATGGAATTGATGAGTCTTCCTGGCAACGTATAGGCTTGGGGTTGGAATTATGGATGGGACTTGGGAGAATAGTTTTCAGAACCAGATCGGGGACCGAGTCGGTCAAGGTACTAGTTCACTAGTTTACTGGAGTGGTTCACGCATATTTGAAAATTCTATATATGTGTGTGTGTGTGTATATATATATGTGTGTGTATATATATATATATCTGTGTGTGTGTGTATACTCCCTCCGTCGCATAAAACACTTCTCATTTCTATTAAAAAGTCACTTTTACCCCTTACTTTTTGATACCCTACCTATCACATCATATTTTTTACTAATAATCTACCTATCAAATCATACTTTTACCTATCACATCAAAGGACATTTTTGAAAATTCAATACCAAAATACACTCCCTTAAATCTCTTCAAAAAGCAAAACATCACATGTTTCATGGGAGAGAGGAGTGTGTGTGTGTGTGTGTGTGTGTGTCTATTTAAAATTTACACACACATGAAAATTAATATGTATTGAAATAATACTTCCTTTATCTATAAATAAAGAATTTATGATGTATTAATAAATTTATAAGCAATTTAATTATTTGAGTTAGTAACATTAAATCAAAACAAATGGATATTTAAACAAATAAAAAATTATAAAATAAGAGGTGATTTTTTTTTAATAATTTACACAATATTTTAAAATATTTAAATGAGTTAATAGTTTTGTGATATGAAGTTCATATTAGAATCAATTGCATCAATATTTTAGGAATGTAATATATAACTAGTAATGTATACTTGTATATTTTTAGGAAGAGCAATGGTATGTTCACAAACAGAATGGTCACAAACTTCACAAACTTACTATTTGTAGTATAAATTTTCATTTTAAATTTTTTTAGACTATTTAATTTTCTTTATAGAAATTCACAAATAGTAAGTTTGTGAAGTTTGTGACCATTGTGTTTGTGAACCAAGCATTTTCCTTTTAGGAATGTAATGTATAACTAATAATGGCTTTATGCAACAAAAGGGATTGTAGCATGGATGTTAGATAGCCTAACAAGAGAACAATGGGGTTGGGTGTTTGAACCCCCCATTAGTAACAAGTTTTGAGAAATTCGTGCAAAAAAAAAAAGAAAAAAAAACTGGTGTTCGGTCGAACCGGCCAGTTCTTACCGGTTTCCAGCCGGTTCAGTTCACCTGCCGGTCTTTGGAGCTGGACCGGACTGGTTTGGCTCCTGGTTCGTCGGTTCCCGGTCTGAACCGTCTGTTCCGGTTTTTAAAACTATGGATGGGAGGCAAACCATTGGATTCGACTCCTACGAGTGAGCTAAAATAGCCATGGCTAGAATGCAATTATCTCTGACGAGTTGAGGTACATCTCGCGATTTAACTCATCCACTAATTTGAGGCACGTGCGTGGGGTGTTAGACAAGGCGTGCAACTCTAATCGATTGTCAGCCCTCTCTGAAGTTTGATAATCGATTATCAGAATGTGATAATCGATTATCAGCCCATTCTGAACATCAGACAGTAGATTATCAAAAGTGACAGACTGTCTCCCTACACTATTGAAGAAAATGAAGCTAATAGTTAATAATTGAATTTCCTATCATAGATTAATCAGTTATTGTTTAGAAAACATGATTTTTGAACTATGAAATCCTATTTTTGATACCAATTAATTATGCATAATATAACTATGATTTTGTATAATAAAAATGAGGTTTTTGGCATATAAAATACTATGTGATGCATGACGGTAAGTTCGGGTGTTAACACTCGAGACTAGGCCGCTGTTTGTTATCAAATGTTATGTTGATTGATGATTATGATGAATGATTATTATGATGATTATGACTTGATGAAACTACTGATTAAAATGATTATTGAAGATTAAATTATGAATTGAAATGAATATGTTGATGATTATGAAATGATTTGAATTCTAAGG